AGATCCCTGGGTGGGAAATGCGACATGACACGTACGGCGCCAGCCACACCAGTTTTCATTGAAATTAGCATGATACAAAATTTCGCCATTGCAAGACGCCGTCTCCAGTGGCCGCGTCATGCCAGCTTTTCTCAGGATACTCTCTATCCACGGTCATGTACATACATCAGCGCTGTATGATACAGCACGTGTTGCTCATCAAATGTACACAAATGCCTTTGTGAGAAAGGTTACAGATGAGTGACATCCGCGAGCATGTCATCAGACGGACGAGACAAAATGTCAGGCCGCACTTGACAGCCGCGCCCCGCCAACAATGGGGTCATCGCGAGCACTAGACAAAATAACGCCGCGGTGACGTGCCGCAAGTGTGTTAATGAAGAAGTTCGCGCTGAGCTCAGTGTACTCCAGGTCGCTCAGTTTTAGTCGCCGTTTGGCGGGGCAAATTCGTTACCGACGTGACATTTAACATGAACAGTGGGACGAATGTACTGAATCGATGTTGTTCAGGAAAATGGGTGGAGTCCAGAGACATGGGATAGCAGCAACCCACAATAATGGAGTCACGCATGGTTGCTGCCGCTGGGGAGAGTGACCAGGCGACTGACTGGTAATAGTGATTATGTCCCATTGTCAGCCAACGGGCTAAGTACATCTTTACCTCAATGGTCCTAGACAGGATACTACCACTTCGTCTTCAGGTGCCGGACATATTTAAAAACAAGACGCTCCATTTTCACCTTTCAAAACAACGAGCGTCAAAAGTATCGATATCGGTACGTGGATTGATCGCTGAGCGTGCTGTATTTGTCATGAAGTCCAGCCGTGCACATGTACATTATGATCGTCACGAGCGATACATAAGGCACGTAGTGATGACACTCACCACGCTCTTTCAGGGTCGCAGCAGAACGCGACTGCTCGCCAACGGCGATAGTGCACCTTTATCTTTCTCCGAAAGCTGCTGGCATATCAGCAACTACCAATGAAACCGCACGTGTACAACGGACATTCGCGGTCCGCGGCCACATGACCCTTACGATTACGATCCACGGCGACAATGAGTCCCCAAGAGCCAATGTACAAGAACTCAGCGCCGCCAGCGACCAGCGGCACAAAAAAGACCAAAGACCACGTAAGCAGCTTTCAAAGACAGGCATTCTTACTCCCGCAGACTCACACGGGGGCGGGCAACACGGATGTTTTAAAGGCGTTCCATTCCATTCGTCTCCCACATGTTCGGTGTTGACGTCTGAGAGGCCTGGGGACTTGTGCCGCGTCCCACCCTCTGCTTCGAGACCAGCGGGTTGTGAGTTGTACGCCTGTGGTCCTGATGTCGTCGGTTACCCGCACCGCGATCCCAGTCCGAGACCGGAAACCGGTCGCATCGCTGCTCGCAGCACCTGCTGATCCAGAGCTGAGACAAGCTCGTCCGAGCCGAGACTCGCGTTCCACACGTGAGGCAGCGGTCGGACAGCTCACCGTCATGCCAGCCGGGCACACCACTACGCTACCGGTGCACTGGACCCGTGCCGTGGCGCCGCGCGGTCTGCGACACGGCCGCCGTACGATATGCGACAATGTGCCATGCGGTCCGCGACACGGCCGCCGTACGATATGCGACAATGTGCCATGCGGTCCGCGACACGGCTGCCGTACGATATGCGATAATGTGCCATGCGGTCCGCGACGCGGCTGCCGTACGATATGCCACAATGTGCAATGCGGTCCACGACACGGCTGCCGTGCGATTTGCGACAGTGTGTCATGCGGAGCGCGAGCGGTTCCGCACGGCGACAGGGAGTGTCGCCGCGGCTGCAGCCTGGCCCCAGTGACCTGCGACGCGGTGTCGCGGTGCGGGTGACTCCCTGCGACATCACGCGACCCGCCATTCGCAGGGCGTGCCACCTGGATGCCCTCTGAGGAAGTCTTTGAGAAGGAGGGTGTCTCGCAAATGCAGGTACCGGACCCTTCCTACGGTGCCGCTGTTTCTGTGGGGGTCAGCTCTTTCCCTCGCCGAGGTGCTATTCCCAGGCATGAGACCACCCTGCGGCCGCCAGGGCACTGGGTGTGTTCCCAACACCAAGCTCCGTTTGCATAAATCTTACCGCACCCTAATGCGCTGCAGAGCACAGCGGAAACCACGGCCAAAGCTCTGGCGTCGGCAATGAACGTAATGGTGCTCCTTGCAGTTATGAGCTGATTAGGTGCGCCCCAGAGGCGCTGGGGCGGCGCATGGCCTTCATTCCTGTTTTGGACCAGGACTCTTCTGGCGATTGAAATAAATTGGTCGACTGCGCCAATGCCGACAAGTAACAAAAGGAACGGAGCACACTGCGGAATGAGTATGTATACTACGTACCTTTACACTACTGAGCATCGCACCACTGCTTACTCCAAACTTGCCTGATGCACAACACAACTCGGTCCATTCGGGCCAGCTGAGCCTGCATTCAGTCTGCCAGCCGGCATATCCTCGCTTGTCGAAGAAATACGTGCGATGATTTCAATGCCGAATAAGGATACCTTTCCTTCCATTCGAATATTTTTCATACAGGAATGTTTGCGTTCCAGCCTAGGATCCTGTAATCGCGTGAATCCATTTGCAGTACACGTGCAGACTGGCACACGTACGCCACAAAATCGCTTGAGACGCCGCCTCCGTCGCGAACTATCTTTAGAAAGCAAAATGGATTATCATATCCCACGAAACCAAAAACGGTGGTGGCGTGGGGTGTTCATCCAGCTGCACAACATTTCTACCTACAACTCTGCACCACGTTAGTTCACACCGACGTCCCGTGCATAAAATGGGTCGCGAGGTAATGACCTCACAAAACGAGCATGCAACTCAATGCTGTGATTCGTTAGTAATCCATATTCTCCTCAAAAGTAACTTTGAGGCAGATAAGCAGTGATACAAAAGTATAAATCCGGCAACACTAGTTTCTCCGAACCCAATCACATCGCATTTCGTTAATGTATCTCAAATCATAGTGCAGTGCGCTATGCACGACATAGTGTACGCTGAACACTTACACTTAGCGTTCTAGTCACGTCTGCTTTGACTGGTGCTGTAACACCTGCTGCTCGCATTATCGGCGAGCGCGTCACCCGGAGACCCCCCAGGCTACGGATATCATCATCTCATCTCTCACCACCCCATCTCAGGACTCCATCGATGCCCGTGAATCTCGCGAAATGATAACCTATTGCCATCGTTTATCTGAATCTTGAGGCTGGTGACGGTTTAGGTCATGTTGAGCCTGATAAACCGCATTCACCATTATGATTTATGGAGCGAATGAAACCTCCTGTACTTCGGGGAAGTTCTACAACTTTGCCGAGGCAGGTTCCTAATCCAATACACTTCCGAATTTTAACCCAAGTCGTATGAATGTCAAAGGAAGCACATTGGCAGCATAACTCTGGCAGCGCATTTCTAATAACCACCGACTTTCAGAAAGCAACACCAAAGGCCAAGGACGCAGACCCGGCAGAGGCCGGGTTCAGGCCGCCAGGCGACAAGGTACAACGTTCGCGGACTGCTGTCCGGTCCGGGGGTGCAAAGCGCGGGTTCCCACGCTTTGTGGTCAGTGCGCGGAATGCGGGATCCCTTTCCGGTTTATTCGTTGTTTGTAAATCTTGCGTCACCACCCCAGCCAGGCCACTGGACTGGTCACCCATTACTGACCAAGGTCTGGTCTGGTCTGTCCGTCGGCATGAGCCCAAGCCACAACACCAGACCAATCGGCAATCAGCCTCAACGTTTGTCCAATAACGCCTCGCCGGCCAAACCACGGTATGCAATGTGGACATCACCTGGCCGCGCGCGGCTCTGGCTTGGCGCGCCTCCAACCGCCCGCATGCGGTAACGTCCGTGAGACACCATCCGCATACCGCACCTATTCACATCCTATGACCATAGACCGTCCGCGGTTGACAAGATCTCATCCGACCGCGCGCAACACCGGTCTTACACGACGGTCCCCGTGCAACTTCATAAAGCCACTCGCATGCCGCTGACGCACGGCTCCCGTCGAAGCCAACGGCGCGGTGCCCCCCCCCCCCCCCCCGCCCCCCCAACACCATCACCCAGGCGATCCACCTCCACCTGCCCGCAACAACCTGATCCGTGCGCCCAGACAGCCGTCGGTTTGTTTTGCACTGGCGGCGCGCGCAGCCGCCGCCGCCGCCGCCGCCGCCGCCGGAACCTCACCCGGTGAGGACGGTCCCCGCATGATGTCGGCCGTGGCGCGTGACTGCACGCCCCCATCGGCACGAAGCCCCGCAGCGTGGTCAGAAGCTCGAACGCCGACGGGGAGGGGCGACGGCGGCTGCCGCCCACCGCCAGCGCTCGCAGGCGTGCAGCGGGCGCCGGGACTGAGGCATGGGTACGCGAGCCGATGGGACCGCCGAGCGCCTCCGAATCCCAGTTACCCTCGTGCAGGATGGGCGATTTTAGTGTTTTGACGTGCAAAACCACAGAAAAAAGACCGGGATCCTGTGTGAAACGGGATCGGTGTAACACTGGGGATGCGGCTGCAGCCCTGCACTGTCGCCTCGTGTTAGGTGGACGACAGCGGATACATATCCGCCAGCATCCCGCAGTGAGCACGGAAATGCTTTCCATCCAGGGGCATCCAAAGCAGCATAACTCCGAAGGCATGAACAAGGCACCAGGGATGGTGTGTTTGCAAACGATGCATCAACAGTGTTGACGGCGGCCGTCTTCCACGTGCTCCGCCTTCTGCCCCTCGGCGCATGACCTCTGCCCGGTCAGTGGGTCAGACCGGCGCCACGTGTTCAGCCGCACCTGGCCGCACGCTGACCTCGCTCGCCGCGTCACGTGTCGTCAGCGAGCCGACACCTCTCCGCATGCGGATCCCAGACCCTCTCGCGACGTGCTCTCGTCGTTACGAGGCAGACCAGACCTGCAGCACGAATGCCTCACATCCGGCCGATACCGCCCGCGGCGGCGCCGCCTGGCGGTGACCTACCTAGGTCAGGTATAGAGCTGGACGGCTCCTCGACCCGCTCCCGTTTGATGGAGCCGCTCTGCCGGATGCGTGGACGGGCCGGCGCCGCCGGAGCCCGCATCGTCTGCTGCGTTGACGGTGGCGGCGGCGGCGGCGGAGGCGGAGGCGGAGGAGGTGGCGGCGGCGGCGGTGGCGGCGGGCGCATCAACGTAGTTGAAGACACCACGCCCACATCGCCGGCCGCTGCGGCACCTGCCCGACACGACATCTCGGCCACGCGACTCCAACTGGCGGCGCGCCGCGCCATTCACGGGCGCGACATTGAAATCGCCCTACGCTGGCCCCGCTTGGAACGGCGCGCGCCATTGGCCGCCCGGCCGCGCCGCGCCGCCGACCGACCAATCGCGGCGCCGCTTGGAATCGATACGCTTGTAGGGTGAATGCCCGGGTTCCCCTGTCGGTCGACGGCAGACGGCGAGGGGCGGGTGGGCGCCGGGAGCGATGGGGAGGGGGTTGACCCGCTGCCGGTGCCGGCGGCGTTTGGGAGTGACCTAAGGTGGTGGAAGGGTGAGCTGACCAAGCACGATGTGGTCCTGTGCGGGTTCGTCAGGGTCAGGGGTTTTGGGACCACTTATTCCGTGGCCTTGTCCTTGAAATTTCACGCGGTCCTCCCGCGGGTAAATGGCGATGCCCCTTTCCTAGTGCTGCCACCTGTTCGCTAAGGCATGTACTGAAGCTTCGTGTGCGAACCGAGAGGTTTACACAAAGTACGTAGCGAATTCTCAGGAATTCGATCCAAATTCGTACGAGTTCGGAGGAAAATTGAAATTTAGCCCAGCGTGAGCAAATAACCGTTCCATACCTGACTTAGGTTACTACTTTAACCATCTTTCACGATGTCCCGATGCCCATGGGACGCCTGTATTGGAGTAAACGGATGAGCTGATGTTGGCCGCCGCCTTCCGTTTTCTGTCATGCGCGTGGCGGTAACTAATGTACGTAATGACGGCTTAGTAAGGCTTGCGACATAGCCCAGAGACAACGCCTGAAGTAAGGAGCTTGTATTGCTGACCATATCGTTTAAGTACGCTGCACGCGCGCACCTTGCCGTCACTCAGCCGCCAAAGCCACTCGTTCTACAGTTTACATTACTCTTCCCAAATAAGCAGCTGTGCAATAGAAGACTCTTGCTGCAACCGAGGGGGCTGTAATGAAATTTCTGCCATACGAATGTGCTGGATAATGTGTTCACTTGACTATTAAACTCACCCGTCGTCCGTTACATTCACCTTTATGGTGCATGAGTCGAATCAAATCACGTGGAGCGCGTGCGCACGCCTCGAAAACTGGATCTACCGTTACCGTCAGCCCATTCAGCACAGCCCGTTGCCCTCGGTTGGTGTGGCGGGATGCTGTCTGGAAAGCTGTTGCCAAGTTTCTTAGGATCTGCGTAAAGACGTTTCCGTCGAAATGGACGACCTTATGAGGATTTTTTTGCCGAACGTTTGCGATCTCTAGTTGCTGATTACGCTTGTACACATGAATGCGTGTTTTATCTTCATTTACGGCTTGACGACAACGAGATTGAGTAATGGTCCGATATAGTAATGACAAAATAGATTTACTGTTCAATAAATCCAGCCGGATAATAACACCGAACTCCTTGATCCCAGGCAGAATAACAACTTGCGATGTGTACTGGATGTCCACAGATAACTTATGAGAGCTCCGATTTGTCCTCAAGATATCACTGAGCTGCTGATGTTCGTTAAGACGGCCAAGCTTCCGGCTCTGTTGAACAAGATAGCGAAGCGGCCTTCCAGCAATGCCAAGCCATACTCCTCAGGGCATCTGTCTTAAAGATATCCTAGCCCATTGCTTAAGGTATTAGACTGTGATATGGGTTTTGAGAACATACGAATGCTACATATAGTCCAATTGCTTAGAGGCGTCTGTAATTCGATATCATCTGAATAATTACTCACTTGTTATCACATCTTCTTGCGCCTCATCATGATCAAATGTCTACGCCCGAATAACGTCCTAAGTATTTACCTCCGTCTTAACGTGTGCTTGGCAAGCTGATCTGCATACTTGTGTAAAAAGCTTACTGGCTGTCACTGAGTGACTTCAGCTTATTTCTACTTCCAAGTTGTCCTGCAACAATCTCGAGGTGTCCTTCTGGCCAGCGGACCCTGAATCAACTGAAATTTTGGCATTTGCCGCAAAGCCGCAAGTTTCTGGTGGAGTTGTCTATCTCATGAGGCGTTTTCAGCGTAAACCAAACCGGTTGAATGTCTTCAGGTTTTGCATGGTCCAGGGTCTTTGACTCGGTTTCGAAGCCTTTGAAGGCCGTGGGTCTTTCGACCGTGTTGAGGGTTTTCAAAACCCTTCAAACATTGTGTTGACCCATGTGCATATGCTGCGGGAGTCCATGGACCGCCATGAAGCCATGTCTGAATCTGGACATCGCGAGCCTTGCTAGCCAGACTGGCGAGCTCTCACGATATTTAAACATCATTTATTCTCCATGGCAGGTCGTAGATGTTCCGATATTGACTTGAGCCTTTGGTTCGAGCCGATGAGCCCTCCAGGCCTATCCGATCCGATCAGAAAATGATCAGAACCTGCTCATCAGGCCTGTTAAATCGACATTCAGAGACGCCAAAGAGGCTGCAAGATTATCGCGAAATTAAAACAATGCAGGTGTATCCCGCTTTGGCACGAAACCCCAAGTTGCACAGGAAAAGTGTTTGATGGGGTCGTAGAGGAGCACGAAGGGCCCCGCGAGCAAAGAACCGGATGGAGAAGGGCCACTTGAAAGGCTGAAGGGCGCGAAGTGCCGAAGGGCTATCTGTAGGTCACATTAAAGATCCCGGTCTGTAGGGTTGTAATCTCGAAAGTCAGTCAGAGGGCCCTGTCCCACTAAGAGAACCTTGCAACAATCCAGGGTCCTTTTTTCGCCAGAGACCACCAACACGGAACAGCCGAATCCGTCTTGGTCTAGGCCCTGGGGCCATTTCCTCAGCAGGAAAGAGGTCAGTGTCCGCGCTTTGCGTTGGCCCCTGAACCAGTGAGGGGCCACGAGGTATCGATTGAAGGCGTATCACAAGGTCCTACGCTGTAAAGGGTCCCAGAGTCGGCCAGGGGAACGTTCGCTTAACAGGAACATGGACAGAACCCCGAATGCCTCCGGGCTCCTTGCGGCGGCTGGAGCCTGGTAATGATCGTTGGGTTTTCAGGGCGTGCATGCCTCTGTGGCCATGCCTGCCATGCCTCTGCGACTGGGGGTCCCCCGACAACTAAAGGAGATACGAAAACTGGTGATGCGAGTCCATAATGAGACAATGGAAAGGCCCTGCGTCACGCAGAGTACCCAGCACAAAACGAGGGTCCTCCGCCCCATTTCAGCCAAGTGAAGTCAGTCAGATTAAGCTAGCCGAACGTTAAGCCGAAGTGCAGAGCCCAGAGGATCTCCTGCGTCAAGGAGGGGTCCGATGCACGCTGTATCCTTTTAAGAGCCTCCGGAGTAACCAGGAGACCCTGCCCATGTGTCACCAGAGTGACAGCCGGTGGGCACATCGCCCTAGAACGTAATGGCCATTCAGCCCTTGGCAGGGAACAATAATGCGCACCCTAGTTTTCTTCCCAGGTGGACCTGCCCGAAGAAACTCAAGAGGTGTCAGTGTTCAACACGCGCTCGGATGGGGGGTCAAATTGACCTCAGAAGGTTGTTCCAGAATAGTTTCCGAACAGCGCTGTAAAGCCATACCAAATTTTGCATAGCTGCAGATAATTTAATATCGGATCGTCTGGCATCAGAAATTTAGATGCACCTTGCAAGGCCGCTGACCTATGGCGGGTCAAAGTCAGGCCATGGTTTCAGCGAAGGCAATATCCAGGGAATCGTTCAATCTGATCCAACAACGGAGTGTTAGACGAAGCCATACATCTCTGAGATACTTTCTTAGACAACACAACAATAGAATGAACAAATTGCATTGACCTAAGGTCAGGTATGAAGGTTAAACCAAGGTCAAAACCAACCTGTTTTATCACTTAAGCGCTTGCTGCATGGGGTAGCTCCTGGTGCTCATTTCGATTTTATTGATAACAGGAATCGCATTATGCACCTTCCATAGACTTGTTAGATGTCAGATTAGGTCACTCATCTAGAATGACTCAGGTCAACACTTTGTTTTTAGAAACGTACTGCCTAGCGTGATCGTTGTCGCTTATCCAGACGCAAAACTCAAAGCGGTCTTGTATGATTTTGGTCACCATGACCTTTAAAAGGTCAAATAAGGTCACTGACCCTAGGTGAACATGTGACCTCTTGCTTAGAACAGTTATATAGGTTCTAGAGGCCCTTTGGAGACTAACCTGGAATTTAACCTTGTCTGACCTTATTTGACCCGAAGGTCATGACTTGCGAACCTCAAACTTTGACCTAAGTGAGCTTACGTACAGGTAACACACACTGTGAATTTGGTGTCTCTCATTCCCTTAGTTCCTGAGATCTCAGGGGGGTCAAATTGACCCTCCACCCGAGCGACGGGTATCTAACCGGCCACCCGGGCGCGTATTAATGGAGAGGATCGAAGCAAAGCCGAAAATGGAAAAGGCCAACCATGTTGGTCTGAGGACGTCCATCCTTTTACGGAGGCGTCTAGTAAAACAAGTTTTGAGGCTGCGCGCGCACAATCTTAGGAGCAAGAACAACGATGGCCGAAGTGGCAGTTTCCGTAAACTGTGCGATGATGGCCGCTGCATATAACACTGAGCGACGGGGTCGGGTGCGCGAGAACAACTGTCGTGAAGTAATGCCTCCGAAAATCACTTAAAGCCGATTCCTACCGTTCAGCGGTTATCTTGAAGCGTATAATGCACCGTTAAAGATTTGAGGTTGACCTTTGAACGGGTTGATAGTTACAATGCAAAATTACTCGGCCTACCTCCAAGCTATACCAACAAATGGACTGCTCCCCGGATTTGGGGTACTTTCTCCACAAAGCTAGGGGAAGCCCAAGTTGAGGGGTGGGGGTGGGGGGTTGAAGCCTCCCAAGTGAATGGGAAGCAAACAGCACCCCAGATACAAATGCACCAGGTTAGTGTCAATGGCTCACTAGAAGTCGCAGGTGGACCTGCAGTGATAGCATTGTTAGCACTGCATTAAAGGCATCGTCGCAAGCAGCATTGGTTGCATTGTCATCCCCACCACGTTTTGTGAAGTAACGCTGTCTATGTCAGCTGAAATTTGCGGATCAAAACAGGTAAGCGGGGTGACATTGGGCTTAGATCCATTATCTATCGTCCATACTTGAGATGAACTGTATAAAGACAATAAGTTCATGTTACCTGATATATATTCTTATCAGTCATAGAAGATCATAACTATTGCCGGCGACTTTCTCCATTTAGCTTATCTTCCCTAGGTTAACTTCGGTTGGCCTGTTTTAAGTATTTTGTAATCTTGCACCACCGTGCACTCAATACAGATAAATACTTTAGAACGTCTGTTCTTCGACAGACTTGCGTTGTTGGGCGTTTCAGAGGCGTTCAGTGAACGCTAATTACAACTGACATGGCCTCGACAAAGAAGTCATTCGTGATTTGTTAAAGCTACAATCTTTGAATTTCCTTAAAAGATGCGAAGTTGTTAACAACTAAGATACCAAAGATTCCAGTGTCACGCCTTAGTCCGAAAAAAGTCCGAGAAATGTTTTAGCAAAACCCCGGGGCCTTCCCTGGGATCACCTGCCGAGTGAGTGCTAAACTGGGTTCGAAACTCAGGCTTAAAGAGCAGACTTCACTGTGATTAACACTCAGTCAATGATTTCTTCTTAAGTGCCTTGTTTACCGTTATCACCGAAAACGCAAATGAACCCCGGTTGGTCGTTTCGGCTGGTGACCAGACCTGTCCAGTGGCCAGGCATGGCAACCAGTCATTTTTAGACATGTGCTTTTGGAATTGAAACTATCAGTTACTCTGCCCACTCCGTCCCTTTGCTTGCACTCCAAAACGTGTTTCGCTACCATTTGCCTAAGGCTTTATATCAACCTTATGTTCGGGTTGATGTGTTGGAGAGACGTTAGTGTTATTGCCGACGATAACACTCATGCGCCTGTTATCACCTTGCCCGTGCCACATCTCTCGGCAGTGGTGGGTCCAGAAAAAGGTGGGGATGGCAGGGGCACGAGGCCCCGGGCTTGGGCACCGACGGGCCTCAGGCTCCGAAGGGACCTGTTACCAAACGCCCAACGGACGCAGGTTTTTAACACAAACCGCCAACAAAGGGATGTAGCAAAAGTTGGGGCTCCTAGCTCTCGCGAAGAGCCGCAAGATAAAATAAAGGGCCATGAGCAGACACAAAATAGTTCTTCTCTTATTGAGAGGATGGCTGTGGAGGTCCGTGTGAAATTCGGTAAGAAAAAGAACAAAGTTCCTTGATGAAGCGCCGACACTGCCCAGTTATTACACCTAAATTTGACATTTTTTTCTCAGTGATGAGATCGGCAACCGACCAGAAGTTAGCTCCGCAACCGACTAAAAATTGGGGAAGCATCGATGTCTTCCGGGAATTGGAATTTAAAATCTCACAGACGTAATGAATACTGCGAAGTAAATTCTTGCGATCCTTACCGTTATCACTCGACCGGTAACGGAACCTATGCCCCCACAAAAGCCGGATCAAGGTATAGTGATCCTATTTTTAGCATGGTTTGCTATTTAGTACCCTTATCTAACATTCTTGTTGTCGGCTTGCAGGTCATATTTGGCGCAGCGCCAGGAATGTCTTAGCATGCGCCGGGTCGGAGCGTTGGGGTCTTGGCTGGATCTTTTCCTCTGCTAATCGCGATACACAAGGTAAAGCGGAAGACTACCGTTTCATATGCATAACTGGCACGTTGCTGAGCCATCTGTCGGTGTATAGTGGATTATTATTTTTTTCCGATTGTGATTATTCCCTCAAACGCCCTTTAGGAAGCACTCGGTGTCTACATTGGATGCTGCGTGTCACAGTTCAAAGTCATTGGCCAGGGGCCGGGTTTTCTGCCCTCTGTATGCTGTGTGCGGGCTCTGTTTGAGCTTTGTGACACCCGTGGTAGTCAGGGTGCAGGTATATATCATTTAGGTCAATTTTGAAGTGAGTGTTGGTAAGGATCATAAAGCTAATTAGAGTATAATGAATTAATGATGCTTATGTAGTGAAATACATTTGCTTATTATGCTTTTACAGGTATGAAATAATGTTTTGTGAACAGTTTCAATGATGGTTTTATGCACATAATGTCTTAAAATGGTGCTGGTCAGCTGCCGCAAAATGTGGTCACCACAAGCATCTCAAAGTGAAGGATGAGGATAATGTGTGTGTTTGGGGTTATGGGTTTCAAATCATTTGTAATGTCCCTGAGCAGTCAGATAACTAGGTTATGTTAGTAACCTAACTGGTATTGCTGGTAACCTATTGAAGATCATGCAGATTGGAATGAAAAGAGGTAACACAAAGGATGGCCTTTGACAGTTTTTGGAGATAAAAATCTAATCATTTTTGCTCTGTTAATTTAGAGATCATATTTAGCTGCCTGTCAACCAATCATTTACTTTGATGAAATGGCTACCCTTGGCCTGTTGGTATATACCAGCATCATTAGTACTGGGATAGCCTTTTTATTTTCACTTTTTCAGTGATATTAGAAGTGACTTAAGACATAGTCCTGGTCTCATGTTTTAGCACCACGAGGCTAGTGGCATAATATCATGATTAATTTTTAAGGTAGGATGATGTAATCACACTGTTTTCTGATTACTCATGGTGTTTTGTGGTTTGGAGAAGGGAATTAGTGTGGAGTGAGCTCTTGTAAAGCAAAGTATTGTACTAGACCATGGCCTATGCAGTTGTTGTCATTCTTATGGGAAACAGAATTGCTTTTTGCAAACAGCTCTTTGGATTTTAGTATGTGTACCTGTATCACAGGAAATGGTGTGGATCTTTCAACAGCAATATCTGCTATGCAGATCATTGGAAAGCATTTTAGTTTTTTTTGTTGTTGTTCCTTTCAGAATGATTATAATCTTAATTATGCACCTGAAATCAGTAACCCACTTTATCACCAGTCAGCACTGACCAGGCACCTCTCAGTGAAAGTGGCTTTTCCATCCAAAAGTTATATTGGCTGTTGCTCATGTATTCCATGATGTATACATCATGAAACAGGTGTACCATAGTGAGCAGTAGAACACAATTTACTCTTCATTCCTTCATAGATGACTGAACACAGGTAATTGCAATAGCAAATATCTTGCTGTGAATCATCTGTCCATTTTTGCCACTCAAAATATGCTTAGTGCATGGACTGTGATGTTGCGGTATAGGGGTTGCTCCCTGCAGCTTCTCTGAAATTTATGATGCCAATGGATTTGCTCGAAAGCTTCCAAAGGAACCACAGGTCTCCAAATTCTAAACTTAGGTTGAGGTAATGAATAACATGAATTTTGCCTGAATGTTGAACTGTTCAGGAATGCAATTGATGCACATGAGGTATTATGCTTTCCCATTTAAGTGAGATTGAGCCTGACAGGTGGAGTTGGTGAATGACCTCTTCAGTAAGGAGAGGTAACATTCAGCATATTATAGTAAGGAAAGCTCAAGTAAGTCTGTTCCGAATGAAATGACAAATTGTCATCAACCTTCACCAAGTTACAATAGCCAGTGGTGACAGTCATACATTTGCAGCTACAAGTTTGTTTTGGCCTCTGGCCGAGTGAGTTAAAAGCAAAACATTTGAATTATGTGCCCTGTGGCTTAACACCTGCATTTTGCTTCTTTCAAATCTTCAGTGATCTTACATTTGTTAGATCAAATTCAGTCTTATTAAGGAATTTGTCACATGTTATCCAGATAAGCTTGCCCCATTGTTCAAAGAAATGATATAACCACAGATCTGTATGATCAATGGTTTCATTAGTTCTACCTGCTGTGTTTTTGTATTCCCCTTGTCAAATTTAGTATCAGAATATTTCTTTCTCAAGGTTAAAGCCATTTTGCTTTGCATGGTCTCAGGAAAAGAGCTTTACATCATGTTCATGTGAGAACATCAGTGACGGAGTTACCCCTATTGCAAGGGGTCAGAAATGAAATACCCCATTCAGGGTTCCTATGAATATTTTTCTATGTTTTCATTAGGAATAGGTAGCAAGCTGAAACCATTCCAAGCTCTTAGAACTGGTGACACAACATGTGGTCTTAACCAGGTACAGCTCTATTTACCCGCTCTGGATTTTACAAGCATGCAAACAGTTAGCAGTCGTCCCTTTTGTGGGGGCTCAAGCTCAGTTGTGGTATCTCCTGTGTGTATCATTAATCCCTGTTTGTGTCTCAGCTCCACTTAAGTGGAGACCTCTTATTACAAATCATATGATGTTAAGCTACAAATCCACACAATCCACTGTGATGGAATCACTTGTATTTATGTTTCTTATGAACAACTGTGCAACTTGTTCAAAGTTTACTTGTGTTACCATGCAGCTTCACTATTCTTATGGGTACCAGCAAAGGTATTGAAAAGCAATGCTCGCTGATTCAGAAACATCTAGCAAAAATATAACTATTATGCATTATTAGAGTAGCCAAAATAGACTTCAATGCTACAGCATCTTGAAATGCATCATCATCATGCTACTGAACAATATCTGATCATTTGCAGGAGGTGGGGTTGGAAGGAAGTGCAGACAAAAATAGCCAAGCAATGTCAGTTTCATATGATTTTGGTGTGTAGAATATGTGAATGAAAGTGAGATGTTCTGTTACAGTCAGGTGTAGGAAAGGCCCAAGTTTTTCGTGAACCCACTTTGACCTCATTTCTTAGGTTTTAGTGTAATTCAAAACACTGGCTCGAGTCCTGTTGCTTGAATTAGTTGGATGAACAGTTTGAACCAACATTAAGTCATAACTGACACCAAAGACTGAAAGTGGTTGCACTGTCTGGTGGGAATAAATGACAGCATGCATGAAAATATTGTTCAACTAGCTGATCTTTTGTTGGATTCTTATAGCTGATTGCAAATGATGGTTTATGCTAGAGCAATGAGAACAACAGTTATGACAATAACATTATATGTGGGTAATGCATTTGAGAAATGGAGTAACAAATGCTTCCATAGGTGTTCAAACATTTCCAAAATGGTTCAAACATTTCCAAAATGTATTCATTCCAAAAGTTAACACTTCATAAATGAACGTTTGGGGCTTGAAATGATGTAAATGCTTCTTCACACACATGCGCAGGACTGCACTTTGCCTTGCTGAAAACACTTTGGTTTAGGTAGTCAAAAGGCAGTCTAAAACTTGAACAGCTCAGCTGTTTGGCCGATTTGCCTGAATCAAGAGTTATTTATAGTTGATATTTTAAAATTAAAAATTGATTCAAATTACCTTTCAACCTCCAGGGATTTTTGGTCAGGACTGGTTCAATACATGCAAAGTTAAATCAAGCACAAGTCATGCATGTAGCTGTTGCTCCCCCATCTTGGATAACATATTACACCAAGGTGATGAGGTGATGAAGTCTGGGTCCTGCATGAATGGGCCGTATCGTGCCATTGAACAGCACAGGATATTTCCCTTCACAGCCCTGCAGTAAGACTAGCAGTTCGAAGGATGCAGACGCTGGTGGCAGGGCCAGAGTACAGAGAACACGCACCAAAGCCGGAGGTGCAGCCGGAGCAGCGGTGCAGGATGTCGCAATGGGCTCAAAGGGAAAATCAATGCAAGGCCTTATACAGAAAAGGCATTTTAGCGCGCCGCAGACGCGATGCATCGTTAAGCATAGCGTTTCACGTCGCATGCTTTTAATCAGCGTATTGTCAGGCGTCTGTCGCGATCCCTTTATTGTCGCATTTTTTAACGTGGAGGGCCATGCTCCCGTTACTCCCTTAAATGCGCCCCTGGTCCGGTGCATACCGGCCATGAGGATAACAGTGCTTCGGGGAAGCTGCTTAGAATAATTTCCCTGGTTCTAATGGGACGGACAGGTTAGACCCGGTCAGCAAGAGCTGCGCGGGCCCATCCAGAACCGGGGATAAACGGCTGTCACGCACCTATGACCCCCCGACGCGGTCCAGGTGGCGGCAGAGTTGCGTGCGCGCCGTCTAGAGTGGGTGCAGATCTGCCTGTAGCGCCGGCTGGAGTGTGTGCCGATTGGTCCTGGTACCGGCCGGAGAGGGTGCAAATCGGCCTTGGTACCGGCCGGAGTGGGTGCAGATCGGCCCCTGACTCTGGCCGGAGTGGGCGCAGACCGGTCCTGGCACCGGCCGGAGTGGGTGCTGATCGATCTTGACACCGGCCGGAGTGGGTGCAGGTCGGCCCCCCTGACCCTGGCCGGAGTAGGCGCAGACCGGTCCTGACACCGGCCGGAGTTGGTGCAGATCGATCCTGACACCGGCCGGAGTGGATGCAGATCGGCCCGTGGCGTCGGCTGGCGTCACCTCTGACCTTTGGTGGGGGTGAGCGTCTCGCTCGAGCAGCAGCGAACGGCGGAAGCGCTGGTGACAAACACGTACATTGCCCTGTCTCTTTGAAGTTCAGGGAACCTATGGCGACCACCGCTGGGGAGAAGCCTGAGTGGCCTATGCCGGCAGCCGTTAGGGTGTTCGTGGATACCGAAATCGACGTGAGGCGTACCGTCCATAGAGAAAGGAACTTGAGGGATTTTTTTTTATCGAATTTTGCCGTCATTGGTGCGGTTGCTACGGGCTGAGAAACATTTTGCAAGGCGTGCAAATTTTCTTCAGGCCTTTGGGCCCCGAAAGCAGTGCGGTTACCAAGACTGGACCAGATCTGTTCCTGTCTGCCACCATGCCGATGCATGGGCCATGGCGGAATTGAAAGAAGGTGTAACTTACCAACACAGGAAAGCTGTTCTTTATCCTAGCGTGGCACTGATGGATTGCGTGTTCCTAAATTCACCGTTACAAATCCCTTGCGGATCACTCGCATGGACTCAATAGTCGCAGGAAACCAGCATCGACTTTAAAAACAATGAAGCAGAATCATTGCGGATGGACCCCCCGGGAAATCACGTGATTGAGCGACGGACATTGTCATCACCCGTAGCCGCCGCATTGATGCATCGAAAATAGCGCCGGACTCGTCTCAACAGCAATGGCGCCACTAGCTGTTCCGGGAGCTGAGCAGTGACCTTTACAGTGTGCTGGTCATGAGGCGCGGCGTCCACCCCTGTGCCGTGGCCAGTACATACGCTGAAGACCTCGAAACGTTATGCTCTTAAAGATGCTTTGGTATGTTGTAATACACTTATGGATGTTAGGCTCGTGAAGAAGGGATGTCGGTCCTGTCTCCTTTTGTCTGTCGTTACCTTTGTGAATGTAGTTGGATGCAACTACACCCTAAGATTGTGCGTAACATGGCAGTGACGGCCTAGAGCTGACGTTCCAATCTGCTGCAGCGCGCAGCGATGGGCGCCTACCTGAGCCAACCCGTCACCAAAAAGGTGTCTTCCAACGGGCAAAATGACTACCTCAGCTACGGAGAGTCCTCAATGCAAGGATGGCGGGTATCACAAGAGGTGAGGGTTGAGGGAGGACTTGGCTGTATAGCGATTGGTTATGGTTCTTGTGTATGAGGCGCCCCAGACTCCTAGGTGTGCTCAGAACACCTACTGATGTTGGACCTGTGGTGGAATGAAGGCGTCGACCAGTATCTGTTAGTTGTTGTATTGTGATCATGAAACGTGTGATGGTCGTGCTTATTTCAGCACAGAGCTGTTTTCTGGTGGATCTTTTTTGGTCAGCATAATAATACGTTGGTGTAGGGTGACTTTCAGTTTTTTATTTTTGCCGTCGAAATTGGTAGTAAATTTCACTGTCAAGCAACATGATTTCCTGCTTTTAAGACCTGAGTCTAACCTGATCTTTCCCAACCCCTCCCGACCTGACTTGACCTGACCTGACTTGACCTGATCTGACCTGACTTGACCTGACCTGACCTGATATGAGGTGACCCGGTGTAACCATACTTTACCACGCCTGTCCCGACCTGGTATCAAAATGACCGACACGCGCGCCGTTATTTGATCTGACGGTGCCTGCCGGCTGCCCACAGGACGCCCACAACAGCCTGCCAGAGCTGCACCCCGGCTGCGCGCTGTTCGCCGTGTACGACGGCCACGGCGGCCACGAGGTGGCTGCCTACACGGCTCAGACGCTGCCCGGCTGCATCCAGCGCAACCCGCTGTACAGCGCCGGCCAGGTGCGCGAGGGCCTGCGTCAGGCGTTCCTCGACTTCGACGGCACGCTCACCCGGCCGGAGGTGATCGAGAAGCTGAAGGCTATCGCTGGACGCGACGCCGACTCGGGTGAGCGCGCGGCGGCGGCGGCGGCGGCGGGTCGCGGCTGGGCGTGCTGAAGTCGAGCCGCGCGCCCGGTGCTGGTCACTTGAAACCCCCGGAGAGTGTGTCCCCGTTTTAAGCAGGCGATACACGCTTTCATAATTATATGTAACAGGGCATTGCTGCTGTTGAAAGCTGGGGGATCGTTATTTGGGGATCTGGTTTTGCGCTTTCGACTTGTCTAGATATGTCAGCTTGACACGTGATACCCCCTGCTTCATTATTTGGACAGCTCGCTGGCTCCAGCATCACAATAGTCCCAAAGAAAAAACGTGCGATTTTTGTGGCATGCTGCGCCAGCGAGAGATGGTCGGATTAGAAGGAGGCGTGAATGAGCGATCGTGCAGACCGCGCTGTTCTGTGGCCGGTTTTCAGGTTGGACATGTTTGACTTTGCACGACATCCGCCTGACAGCACGACGTCGCCTTGCACACCCGCGAGCGCCGCTTCTAGGGGAGGAAGGCGATTAACTGGGGCGTGCCATGTCCTACTCCCCCAGGCCGGAAGCCGCTGCGTCTCCGTCCCTGTACGGCGAACACCTGCCATTTGTAAACTCCCATGTAAACCAGCGCTCTCATGTAAACCCATGTCCCGACCTTGTTGTGCCAAGACGAGCACAGACGGCGACGGCGCCCTGACCTCGGTCGGCAGACGAGGAGGACGAGGCCGACCGCGAGGTGGACGAGCTGTACCAGGAGGCGCACATGCCGCTGGAGGAGCTGGTCGCCCGCTACCAGGGCGACAAGCCGGCCAGCGACGCCGTCGGCCGCCTCAAGGCCAAGGAGAAGCCGCTGTCACCCTTTCTGCGCGCCAAGCCGGGCTCCTCGGGCGCAGGTGCGGCGTTGGCATGACTGGATTGTTTTTGTAGTGTGGGTGGCTGACATTTTCCGCGAGCTTCATGTGTCTTCGGACGTTGTTCCGTAAAACGATGCTTCTCTCCTGGCTCGACGAGAACACGTAGGTGTGCGGAAGGGGGAGGTTGAAGGTGAGGATGGCTGTTATCATAGGTGTAAATAATCATTGGAAACTAGACTAGATCTAGCTAGTGTTTCTCGAGCCACTGGGGTAAAGCTCCTGTACTGAAATAAGTTTTGCGCGCGGCAACGTCCAGGATGGACACCATTTGTGGGTGGCGAATTGACCCTGTTCCGATCGCGAAAACGACCTTGGCGTGGTACAGTTGAATTTATCATAGCTACGGATTCATCCGAGTACGAAACACACACTCCACTCGTTTTGTAAGACATCATTAGTTTTACGCATTGGGCTTCTCCGCATGCTCGTAGCTACTATATTGGTTCATTCTTTCTGCGCGGTTCTTAGGCGCACTCAACTTCAGTTCCCGACTTCCCTTCCCGGTTGAGTAGATGTTCCATTATCGTGCGCCCTTGAGCAATGCTTGTGCCATCTATGCCGCCGTGCCAAAGCCATGATGTAAAGTTCATGGATATTCAAGCACTGCATATTCGGACACCGCACTGGCACCGTTTTCAGGCGACACAACTTACCCGGACGATGTTACAGGGACGGCATCCAACTCGTCGGTCGGCGTCAGCTCGGACGGCAGCGGCGAGCCTGTGCAGAAGGACCTGGCGGCAGAGCTGAACGACGCCGAGTCGAAGCCAGAGGCGGACGCCAAGTCAGAGGCAGACGCCAAGCCGGAGGCAGACGCCAGGCCGGAGGCGGCAGCGGCGTCGGACGTCAAACCAGAGCCGAAGACGAACGGCGCGGGCGGCGCCGCGCCGCCCGGTCCGCCAGACTCGAGCGGCGACGGCGGCGGAGGGGCGGGGGACGCCTCCTCCTCCCCCGCCGCCGCCGCGGACGACGCAGCGCCGCCGGCCTGCAACGGCAACGGCACGCCCTCCTCGCCGGAGACGGCGGCGCGCCGTGGCAAGGGCGGCAAGGGTGCGCGGCCCGGCAGCGGCAAGTCACCGGCGCCAGCGGCAGCGGCGGCGGCGGCGCGGCGCGCGCCGGCGGCCAGCCGCGCCACGCGCCGCATGCCCGAAAGGGCGGCGGCCGAGATCTACCGCGATGTGCTGGAGGGTGCACGGCTGGCGCGCGAGGCGGGCCACGCCGATGAGGAAGCAGAGGACGAGGAGGAGGAGGAGGATGACGACTTCAGTCTGGAGCAGAGGTGGGGGCGCCGCGGCGGATGGTGGGGGGAGGGCTACAGAAAAAGGCACCGTGGTGTTGAGCTGTGTGACGTGTTTTATCTTCTCCGCCGACGGCAGAGTCGGAAGTTGGTGGTGGTAAGATGAAATGACAGCTAGTGCAGGACGCAGGGTCACTTGCAGCGTGTGTAGCGATGGTAGCTCGGGGCATGAGACAAGGGCTTACATTAGGGGATTATGCGGCTGAATTGTCTGGGTGCTGGAGACATTGCCCCGTGGGGTTCTTGTGACTTGTCGTGCTGTCGCGGTCAACCGTATGCTGGGCGACACACACTACGTTGTAATCTAGGCCTTAGTGATTTGGCGTGATACCTCTGGCGGGCCTCGGTGATGCTTGCCTGTGAGATCGGCCGGTTCGCAGTGATAGTCTGGACGATGACGAGGACGACGCAGATGGTGGCGAGGATTCGGACGAGGAGGAGGAGGAAGAGGACGAGGAGGACAGTGAACAGGAGGACGAGGACTCGCTTGGGGACGAGGAGGAGGCTGGGGATGATGAGGATGGTGACTTCATGCTCAACATGAAGGATGAGGTAAGGACCTGATGTCTCTGTGTGGGGTGCCTGTCCTGACATTATTGGCAACGATTCTCGCTTACTTGTTACGGGTCAGGCGTTGTTATTTCTAGTGAGCACAGGCTTTTCAGCCGTTTACAAGCCGCGGTAGTCACTGAAAGCTGTTATGGGCGCAAAGCGAGCACAGCGGTCGGCGCGCCGCCCCGTTCATCATCAACTGCCACTGCTCCTCCCCGCCGCCCCCTCTTTTTGCCGCTCCCGTCTGCACGGCGGCTCCTCGCTGACCCGCTCACGCCATCTTCGTGTCCCCCCCTTCTCCGCTGTCGTTGTTTGTGCGGCTGCATGAGGCCTTTCTCTGTGCGACTTCGTGAGACCATTCTCTGTGGGACTGTATGAGACCGTTCTCTGTGGGACTACGTAAAGCCGTTCTCTGCGCGATTGCGTTGGACCGTCCTCTGTGTGACTGTGTGAGAACGTTCTCTGTGCGACTACGTTAGACCGTTCTCTGTGCGGCTGCGTGAGACCGTTCTCTGTGCGGCCGTGTGAGACCGTTCTCTGTGCGTGAGACCGTCTCTCCGCTCGACAGCCGGGCAGCGACTCGGGCTGCACGGCCGTGGTGGCGCTGCTGCACGGCCGCCAGCTGTACGTGGCCAACATCGGCGACTCGCGCTGCGTGCTGTCGCGCTCGGGCCGCGCCGTCGACATGTCGGCCGACCACAAGCCCGAGGACGAGGCCGAGCTGCAGCGTATCGTGCGCGCCGGCGGCAAGGTCACCATGGACGGCAGGGTCAACGGCGGACTCAACCTCAGCAGGGCGTTCGGTGAGGTCTGGTGGGGAAGGAGGGGAGCGGGGACGTCCCGTCCCGGCGATTGGGGAGAGGGGATTGTGGGAGCGTGATCCCCGTACGCTCCCACAATCCCCACAAGCGGCTGGAGCGGGCGCTCTAACCGCTAAATCGGTTAGGGCGCCCGCCTCCCAACCTACCCGTGGCAGGGTGGTGGGGTCGAGTTGCCTCGGCGCCCGCGGCTGGTAGCAACGGCCAGTCTAGGTCAGATGACGTCAGAGAGCGGGGCTGCCTGTGCCGAGCATTGCGGCACAGTAAACGTCCGCCACAAAGTTATGCCGTTGATCTGGGATTTCAACGATGGCACGCTGGGTTCAAGGTCTAAACAGCACGCTCTGTGCAGTGTGAGCTCTACCTAAGTGCGAGGCACCCGGGGTCTTTTCCCGAAATCTAGCACATATCTTCTGGCTGGTATGTGTGGGAGTGAAGCAACACACCCGAAGGTCAACATGGTAGACCAGGCTCGAATTCTACCGACGGCATCACTTTCATCCGGCAATCTGGCGACACCACGCGCTGGAGACTGCGGCGTTCGCGATCAGAGCGTCAACAAAGGCCGATGGTGATCATGACCTCAGGACGCGCTGACACGCGTGGTCGCTGACGCGTGTCGTCACACGCGTCGGGAATGGCCGGCCGTTAACAGCGCCGCCCTCCCCGGCCAGGTGACCACGCGTACAAGGCGGACAAGAGCCTGCCGGCGGACCAGCAGATGATCTCGGCCTCGCCGGACGTGCGCTGCGTCACCGTCGAGCCCGACACCGACGAGTTCATGGTGCTCGCCTGCGACGGCATCTGGAACAGCAAGAAGTCGCAGGAGGTGGTCGACTTCGTGTCGGAGCGCATTCGGGAGCAGGGCGAGACGCAGCTGTCCAACATCTGCGAGGAGGTGAGGCTGGTGGGCTGGGAAGAGGTGGGGGAGGGAGAGGGCAGCCAGAGAGGCTATCTTTATGAAACACGGTCTTCGTATGTCAGTGTGACTGTTACCACGTCCGTCTGCACCGTATGCTTGTCATGTTATGATCACTGATTAATTCGTACCGGCACGTTCTGCGCGCCGTTGCTACAGCATCGAAGCGCGGTTCGTGCCTTGCGTCCATTGGTCAGCTATTGCTCGCCGCCCGCCCGCCTGCCCACCCGCCGGTGACACGCAGTCCTCCGTCGCAGCTGTTCGACGAGTGCCTGGCGCCGAATACGATGGGCGACGGCACCGGGTGCGACAACATGACCTGCATCATCGTGAGGTTCCTGCCCAGCCTGGCGCACGTGGAGGCGCCGGCGCCGACCGCCGTCGCCAGCGCCGCCCAGCGACCGGCCGAGGAACCGCCCGAGAAGCGGCAGCGCACCGAGTGACGCACGCAGCGTGGTTACCTCAGTCCCCGACGCCGGCCTCTAGCCGCCGTGTCGGAGTCGGCGGTCTCGGCCGCCCAGCGGGGCGCCGTTCCAGCGGTGATGCTGGTGCTGCGCGGCGATGATGGCCCGGTCGTCGCGGTCATCTAGCTCGATTTTCGGGAGCTTGACACTAGCGCCGCCTCGCGGGTGACCTGTGGACGCTGGGGCGCGGTGGCCGTGACCCCGCCCCGCTGGTCCCGGGTGGACCGCGCCCGAGGGCGGCCGCTCTCTTGGCGAGGCCGACTTGAGGGCCGCTGGGGTGTGCCGAGTGAAGTTTGAGGACCGCTGGGACGCGACGGATCTCGGTAGGGGCGGGTCGCAGTGCGGCGCCGCAGCCGCCTGGCGGCCGGCTGCTTCAGGACAGACCAGTGTGGCGACCATCGTCCGCGCGCCGCACCGCGGTTCGAGGACCACTCATTCTCGAACTGGGCCAGCGTGGGTGTCGGGACGGGATTTGAGGACCACCTGGCCGCCATCGCCACCGTTACAGGGGTCGCATGTGCACCTGTGAATGGGCTGGGATCACTAGACGCGCGCCTGCCTGCATTTCGAAGACTGCTCCGCGTCCGCCGGATCGCCGCGGACTGACTGTGGACTGACTGCTGGACTGGCGCCGGGCTGCTGGCCGTCGTGCGTCGGACGCAGCCCCGTGTGTGACGGGCATTCGGGGGACCGATTCAGCGGACCGAGCAGACCAAGGTCTGCTGGCGTCGGTGTGGGAGACAGCGTGGTGTGCCTGGCACCCTGTTCGATGTACGCGTGGTGTCAGTCCGAGAGCCGTTCGATGTGTGCCTGTCAGCAGTCCCAGACGCCTGTTTGCGTGAAGATCGGCTCACCGCCGTAAGGATCGGTGTCCTCCGAAGGTTAGCGAAGCGGTCTGTACAAATTGTTGGCATGTGCACGCTTTGTTCACGTTCCTCGTTTGTCCTTGATGTGAGAGCGGGACTATATTTTCTACAATAAACAGTTCAACACGTTTTCCCCGTCTACCGTTGGTGTGGTTCTGAGGGTCGGAGTCAGTGACGACTTACGGGTCTGAATCAACGTAACGTTGAGCTTTGGAACATGCTCAGATTTCCCGGAAGCTGGCATGTTTTATGGTAGCGAGAGTGATAGAGTTTGGTTCGAATCTGTAACACTTGCACTGGGAGTCCCGGAGGTACCTATATGCCATGGCGAACATTAAACATTCAAAACACCTGGGAAGCTCGGCAAGTGTATTATCCGTGCGCTCGGGTCGCATACCGGACGCCCAGGTTACAACGAAATGTGTGCTGTGGGCGAGTCACTCGGGTCTCAGGACAAAAATACTCAATAGTTTGTAAATTCCGGTGCACCACCGTGCTCGCCACACCGGTAGTTAGGTCAACGACAAACCGCGACAAACACCAGGCAACAACGCTCCTCCATGTTTCGCTTTCCGCGTGCCATACTCTTCGAGGCTCCGTAGATGCGGCGAAGAATAATTCACGCATTTGAGAGCTCGCCAGGACCTCGCTGACTCCTCGCCAGATAACCGCGTGACGCGCTGCTGGTGGTGTAGGTTTCCAGACGCCGCAGACACTGCTGGACGACGAGGGCGGCCTCCCACGCTCGGCGCCGCCGAGCCGCGCTGCCGGGCGCGGCCGCGGCATCACTGGCCCCTCCTGCGCTCCTCGAGGCGGCGCTGGCGCTCACGATTCCGCTTGGCCAGGTCGTCGAGCTCGGGCGAGTCGAGCCGCACCTCCTCGCGCTGCGAGCGCTCCAGCTCGAAGCCAATCGCCAAGTCCGAGGTGTCATGCGACGGGTGAATGGCTGCCGAGCAGAGCGGCCGGCTCAGAGGGGGAGGGGGAATGGTGCAAAACACGCACGCCGATTCTCCATCGTCTCAGTGCGGGTCATCATTCAGTGACGGTAAATGTGACAGGTGGTGACAAAAACAGGGAGGCCGCATTCCTGGAGACCTGAGCCGATTTCCGTGCCATAAACAAACTTTTTTTTTAAAAACTCAGCAAAACCGATATCACGACGACAACGCTTTCTAGGCTTTTCTATCAACTTGATATCCAACCGGTGTCGAACTGTCATCAAATCCACATTACACCCAGCACCAACCACCGCCCAACGGTGCTCTGAGGGGTTACTGATCCATCTCAGGCAGGGGCTTCACCAGGATTCCAAGCCTGGAAAGAACAGCCGATGAACTGGGTCCGATCCGACTGGCACTGAAAACGTTGAAGCGGGGGGGAGGGGGAGGGGGGACAAGACGGCACAAAAATCATCGTTCAGCGAGATCAGGGCACCTAGAGAAGAGGATAGGGAAGTCTGTGGACGGCGAGCTACTGACAGCTGCAAGCGGTGAGGTTCTGCCGCTGAAGACGCAACGAAGTATGAAAACCCAACAGTTAACGGGGATGTTTTTCGGTGACAAGGCAGCCTACAAAGATCCCTGTTTCTTCGGCTTCCGCGCAGCGAGCACCGTGAGCGCGAGCACCATGCACATCGATGTCTCAGAGAACACTGTATTGGCCAGCTAGGTGCACTTCCACCTAGTGGTCGTCTCGAACATTCGTAAAGACACATACTGTCTACGGCGGGAGAAAACTGCATTCCGGTGGCGAGAAGGGACACCGTTTGTAAGTGGGCTGATATTGCCTGTCCATAGCGACTGAGAGTACCTTACGCTGATAGGAGGGACGATGGAGGGGTCATTTCGGTGTTCGGTACTTGTCGGCGACGTGGTCGCAACTTGGGATAGATTTCAGCGGTGGGAGCAGGGTATTTATCGGTGGCGAGGGAGGGTACTCTCAGATGAAGCAGGTTATTTGTCAGTGGCGAGGGAGGGTACTCTTGTCTGGTGCTGGGTTTTGTCAGTGGCGAGGGAGGGTACTCTCGGATGAAGCGGGGTATTCGTCAGTGGTGAGGGAGGGTACCTCTCGGCTGCGGATGCCGAGTGCCTGTCGGTGGTTAATCCCATGCAGCTCTTCATCTGCGCGATCTGAGCCTCCAGCTGGTTCAGCAGCTGCTGGTTCTGGTACTCGATGGAGGATGGAGGAGGGGACGCACTGGGTTCCGAGCGCTCTGAGGATCGGCACGGAGACAGCCTTACTTCACTGATGCGTCAGGTGCACCAGCTTACGCTACGTATAGTTTATATGCTATATCATGTTACCTACGTAGGTGCCATGTTACGTATGTTACGTTACGTGCAGGTTATGCTACGTATGTGGGTTACGTTCAGGTACGTTAAGGCTGTTCCAGACCAAGCTCGTACCATGAACAAGAAAGCACATGTAAAGAGCCGCCATGCACCGCGCTGCTATGCCATCATGAATGACGGGACATCGGTGATGGACGTTTTGAAGGCGGAAACGATGTTTGGTGTGACGACAAGTGGTGAACATAATCGGCTATGTGCGGAAAAAGATAAAAAAAACAATCATGGAGGCAATGGCGCATCATGTGGCCGCGCCTGTTTTACAACATCAACGCACCTGCGTTCTGCCGGCAACCCATTCGCGCTTCTTTGTCGGCCAGTTTCGTATTGAGAGCATCATGCTGCATTTCCAGCGTCCTCCGCATGGCCTGAAGCCGCCGCAGCGCGGGCGTGTCCGACCGGCCCGGCTTCAGGTCGACCCCGCAGATGCGCGGGGTGGGGACCGGGGAGTCCTGCTGCCCCAAGGTCAGAGCGGGCAGGAGCCGCGGTGACCTGTCCTCCGGCTGAGCTCGCCCTCGGGTGAAGGTTGAGGTTTGGTTGGTTCGGTCGGGGTGGCGGTTGGTTTGATGCGGACAGTGGTCGTGACCGGTTTGGCTGCTGGATGGGTCAAACCTCTCCGGGGAGGCGAGCAGCACCTGAGGCTGCTCCCTCGCGCCTCGAGGTGTCTCCTGTCCGCTGCGGTCAGGGTGAGGACTGCTCTTTGGGGCGAGGTCGTCCCATCTCATCACCTTCCATTCCCCGGAGCGGGGTTCTGTGCCGGGTGCAGTTCTAGCCCGAACGTCACACAGCTCTGGACTACCGCCGCCGGCCTCTGGCTCGTGGCGCCCACTCTCTACCAAGAACCTCCTCCGTGGAGTCACCACTGGGTGCGGAGGTTTGATCCGCGTGATCTCTGGTGTCTCGTCATGAACCGAGCCGCTTTCCTGCAGGCTCCAGCGCCGTCTGCGTGCAGCACGAGGAGGCGCCACCTCGGGCGGCGCCACCCCTTCAGCGTCCGGACACGCCCTCTCCGTGACGGCCCGGGGACCGTCGACCGGCTCCAGGGCCGACCTGCGCTGCCTGCGGCGCTCCCAGGCGGCCTGCGCCCCCTGCGGCACTGGGATGTGGGACCTCTGTGAGCGGCCACTGACGGGCGCATGCGCCCTCTCGCGACGTACATCGCGGGACGTCTCCGAGTTCTCCGGCCAAAGGTTGAGGGGAAGCCGAGACCGCCCTGCCGGGTCATGTGATGACCCTTCTAGCCTCTCTGGGCACATATAAGTGGGGACAGTGGATTTATCTGGATATGTGGGAACAGAGGTCTGTACCCTGCTTTGGAGGTCGGACGCTTGGTTTTGCGCGATACCCTGACAGACGCCGCTGGGAGTGTGCGCTCCCTCCTCCCGGCCGCTGGCGGGGCTCAACGACCGCTCCTGTTGGCCGCTGTCGGACGTGCTAGGTCTCCTCTCGAGGCAGACGGTGGCAGAGGTGTGCGGCCGCTCGTCGCTGCCACTGGAAGGAGCCCTGGCTCCCCCGCGGCAGGTGACGCCGGGCGTCTGTGGCCTTTCTGCACCGCTGCTGACAGGTGTCTGTGACCTGTCGCGTCCGCCACCAGACGTCGCGCTGCATCCCTCCAGCAGGTCGCTGGTGCGTATCTCAGACTTGTCCGAACGGCCAGTAGTAGGAGTTTGCAACGTCTCCAGAACCCCGCCGCTAGATGCCCTTGAATTCTCTGCGTGACCCGCGACGGAAGCGTGCAGCCTCTCTGTGCAAACGACGGCGGGGGTCCGCGCCCTCTCCCACCCTCCTCCGACGGCAGCCTGCGACCTCTCCAGCCACTCAGCGGGGGGCGTCCTCGACCTGTCAGGCCGAGCCGTGTGCAGGGAGCGCCGGCGCGGCGCCGGCCGTGGCCGCCGCTGGCGCGGCATGTCGAACGGGCCGGCGGCGGCATCGCCGGCCGGGGAAGCTGCGCGGTGCGCCAGCGCCGGCACCGGCGGCGAGAGCCGGGCGGGGCTCGGGGCCCGGCTCGGCCGCCCGCCGCTGCCGCCCAGCACGGGCTGAGCCGCCGGCACGCTCGCGCCTGATCTGTCGGGACGGCAGGCGGGGCTCATGTGCTGCGCATTGGCAGGGTAAGTGAGCTCACCTGGAGGGGGTGTGTTCGGCTTGCTGCATGGGGACGGAGACGCTCCATTAGAGTGTGAAGCGCGATGAAACATAATCAGCATTGCCACGGGCTTGTCAGCTCGACGCCTGCGGCCATCTATTATTTGCTGATTGTTTTCACTCGTGCGCGCAACGTTTCTCATGTCAGACGAATACTGCACTCACGAGACAGTCAATTAATGCTCACTTTAAACATATTTTCGGCAGCCCATATTTGATCACATGGTGCATGTGAAAAGCACTGCTTTGGTAGAAGCTAGACCAGCCACCACAGAGTAGGTGCACCAGAAACCTACCCCAGCTCTGCTGGCGTGTGTTGAGACTCGGACGTGCTTATCCCAGGCTTTGGCTTACCTTTCTACTGGCGGCGGAGGCGGAGGAGACGGCGGCTTGTAGACTTCCTCCTTAGGCCACAGGTCCTCCAGAGGTGGCTCTGGATTCTGAGTCCCTGCTGGGCGACTGGAACCGAGGTTACCGAGGTCAGTGCAAGTCACGTCCGGTCACTGGCCGCATAGCACACCTGAGCCATAAGATCAGTGAAATCTAGTGAAGGGGGGGCATGTTCGCTGGCACCCAGGTTGGCAATCCACGCTAGATACGGAATCAACTGTCGTAATCACACAATCGCGCAATCATCCGCCCACGGACGGATCCAGGACTTCGCCAAGGGAAAGGTCATTGACAGTGGCCCATAACTGGACAGCCATCGCCGCAAGGCCCGATAGAGCCCCAGCCCCCAAAGGTCCGATGTTCTGGAATTTAACTCACGATACCACTCAAGCCAGATAGCTATGTTATCAGGTTTTCAGGCCAGGTTTTCATATGTTTGGACCACGTTCAAGCCCTTGCGGACAGAAAACGTTCCTATCTTGGGCTGCTGCGGGGCCACGTATGATTTTTTCCTCTCGAAGCTCCAGGGGTTCCGAGGAGAGCCACGGACCGCCATGGTCTCTTGGATCCACCCGGATCCCGGATCCACGGATGCTGCGCTTGTCCAGCAGGCGCATGACACACGCGGTGATGGCGGCGGTGGCCCTCCTCCTGATTTCAGCACTCACTCGCTGCCCCAGGAGTCCCACTCGTTGGTGGTGGTGGCGGCAGTCTGGCCGGCACGCAGATCCCTGGCCGCGCGGCGCATGTTCTCCGCCTCCTCCTGCGAGCGCCGCTGCTGCTCCTCGATCAGCCGCTGCCGCTCCAGGCGGTTGCGTTCCTTCTGCTCGCGCGCCTCCTGTTCGCGCGCCAGGTCCTCGCGCACCTTGCGCTGCTGCTCCTCCAGCCGGGCGTTAAGCTGCGCGTCCTCCTCGGCCTCGCGCCGCTTGCGCTCCATCTCGCGCTGCTTCTTGTCGGCGATCTGCTGCTGCAGCTCGGCTGGCGGCGGCGAGGTGACGGAGTTACGGACGTGACTGCTGGACGAAACAAGGCAGTATGGAAAATCACGCGAGGTTAGCAAATGCTTCGCGTGATAACGGGATGTGACGATAGGCCAATATGTCATGACGCAAGTCAATATGTCATGTACGGGACGCAATATGTCATGAAAGGTTTCTTCAAGTAGTGAGATGCGGCAAGAGACCGCGAAATGTCACAACAGGTTATTCCATTTTGTGTAATGTCATGACAGGCTATGACCTCGGGCCCTGTTATAGGATGTCAAGTATGCACTTTGTCGGACTAATAATTTAACATAAGAGAACGCGGCAACTTCATCCATTTAACAAATGCACTCAACGACAAGCACAATAATTTGAAATGGTATGATCGGTTCCATGTAGCGAATCATGCAGAGGCAAGCTGCAAACCGCGCGAGGGCACTAATCTTATATTCCACATTTCGCTACAGCGCTCGACTCCGACCGGCATCACAAAGACTCTACGTCTTCTCGCTCATCGCGTGTCGCCGAAGACTCTACGCCATCTCACTCATGGCTTGTCGCTGTGGAGGGGGCGTGGCTGCCCGCTGCCGCTTACCTTGCACGGTGCCTGCCTGCGAACGTTGGGCTCGCTCGTAAGAGGTCTGAAACACAGGCCTCGGCATTAGAGGCTGACAAAGGTGCGCGACTCATGCCCCGATGATGACCTGCACGACCACGCGCTTCTCGAGCACGGATACACTGTTGCGAGCCCAGAAATACTGCTGAAGCTCAGGTTACTCTGCGCACAGAAGCAACTTAACCGGGATAATATCTATCTAAGGAAGTCAGTGAACTCATTCGGTGACATGCAAAGGTTTTCCATAGTCTTTCAGCGCTCAGCATGTAATCATCGTTCTCAGTGTCGACCTTGCTTGGGATGAATAGGCCTTATTCAGCCATGCCGCGAAACGCGCGCTAGCGATGCGCTCGTATCTGGCAAGTTGCAACTCTTTGAGATTGAGATATAACACGGTATACTAGAAGTGTGTCCTAACCGGGTCCACTTTAAAGAAGTCAGATACAATTTGCGACACCAATGGCGGATCCATAGGAGGGGCCATGTCTCCCCTGGGTCCTGCAAGGGCTCACAGGCTCCGAACGGATCTGTAACCGGCCGAATGGAAGCAGGCTTTTTAACACAAAGGCGCAACAAAATTAGGCGTTTTCGGGCCTTTGGATATCCGAGAACAGTCGGATGCAAAAGTGAAGGGCCCATGAGCAGACAATCATAATTATCCGCTGACTGAGAGGGCGATGCTTGGGCAGGTTAAAAAGCTCATTACGCCGTCCAGACGCCCCACGCTGCTGCCGCCGACCTCCCATGTCCACCTGCCAGGTGAATCTAATCGCAAGGGAGCCTTTCTCGCCGCCCTTGCTTTCTTCGCATTTGCTCGGAGGGCCTTACGCTGTTGTCGGGACTCTGTATGGTAACCTGTCGGGCCATTACTGATCGATCAGAGGCCCTCCGCGATATTTTCCCATCCGCCCAAAGGCTCCACACTATTGTCGGGAGCCCCACATGCTAATCTAGCTGGGTACTCTCCGTTGCTCAGGGGCCCTTCACGTTGGTCTTAAGTTCTTCGCACTTGCTCAGATAGCCCTATGCTGTTGCTGTGGGCTTTATAAATTAACATACCGAGGCACTCGTTACTCAGGACTCTTTCTACACTGGTCTAGGCTTCTTTTCTTGAGGAATAGAATGCAGACAAGTCAATAATATGCAGCCATGAACTCATGATTTATACAAAGCAGCTCACAAATGAAACAAATTATCGCCAAAAGATGGAAAGCAATCTTGAAATGAGTCTCATTGATGTATATGCCATGAGCAGCGTTTGAAACTCCGGATGTTCATCAGTGCTGCACACATTTCAATATGTGTGGTGAGGGAACGTCAAATGCAATGTTTCTTTTTAGTGGCATGCAGATGAAACGTAGCGTGAAGTGAATCATTCGAGAAGTATCGCGCGGCTCAAATATAACACTCTCAACTTTATCATCCCTGGCAGTCTGTGCCGGCTTCGAGACTGAAACTCATCGCTGAGTACCATTTTGCAGAACATTACAAGCAAGCCATCTGGCCATTTCGCACAAAAGCATGTTGTACCCGAAGCAAGCAAACCGACCAGTTTGTGTGGTCTTTTACATGCAGTCATAAAAATGAACAGGAGTTACACTTTACCTCACGGTCCCAGGTCTAGAAGGAAGCGAACGGGTTAATCATAGACTACCAACTACAAGGGCCACCAGTAGATGCATAAGCAGCACATTCCATGACGAGTTTTCCCGATCCAGTCGTTCCTACTATTGCGATGACATGGTGGTAAATGTACGTGAAACAAACAAAACTAAGGTCTGCAAGCATGAAACCTGGTAATGATGATACAAATATTGTCAAGGAAGTATTCCTGTCCGAAGCTTATGCTCTACCTTGGGCATGATCACAACTGTGTGTTGCCGAATCATGTCTCATGGTCGCAGACAGAAAACAGCACAATGTCCCAATCACCTAACAGTTTACTGCTTCGTACTGAAGGCTCACACTGCTCCTTCGGCGGGACGATCCAATGAAAGAGATTCAAAAAGAGTAGCTACCACCAAGACCAAGTGTCCGCGTGTTTTAAAGTTTCGTTCAGATCATTTCATAAGTTTAAACTTTCTCATTTACACATTTTTGTGGCGGTTTATGGTACCAACACAAGGTATAAGCAACAAATGGATGCATTTATCATGCCAGTAATGAAACCAAAGAAGCACACTGACTGTCGACAGCCGCCAATATGTCAGGATAGTAACTGCGAGCAGGCAATATATCATCACCCAATATATTCAAAAGACAGGATGATTTAACCCTTGAAATCATTACCGAGGAAAACGTCTTCTGTCGTCTCAAGCCATACCGGAGAGTTTGCCATGTGTGTCCTCCAGCGACACCTACAAATTTCAGCAAAAGGCCTCCAGAGACTGAATCGCCAAGGGTGACCGGCGAATGGGCAGTCGAGGTTGCTTCTATTCCTATCTCGAAACAAAACCTGCCGACCGGCCGCGTGGCAGCGCATGGCCGGAGAAACAGCCGACTACGGCGCGGTAACAACGACAAAGAAAGCTGGCTGTAAGGACACAAATAGCGAGGGGGCTCTTCAGCACGGTTCGGCCGGATCAGCGGGAGGGCAGCGGAGGTCACGCCGGGTCATGCTCCCCGCTCACCTCAGAAACGTGGGGTCGTCGCCCCCGGGCGTTGCCGCCGTTGTCACCGAACCTGAGGCCAGTCTGCTCATTCTGCTGCTGGTTGTACCTGACGAGCCCGAGACCGAGGGACTGGTCAGAGGTTATTGAGTCAGAGCAGGGAACACTGCGGCAGACTAGTGTGTCAAGTTGCAGGCTGCAAGCGCCAAATTGATGCCTGAAGGATTTGGAGGCTCATTTACCACGCACCATTGCATTACACCCCTAAAACGCCAGTACAAAAAAGAAAGCTAGCGGAGCAGAAAAAGGAAGATGAGAGAAGGAGAGAGGGAGAAGGGGGACAGGGGGGGGGGGGGTGAGTCAGCTCAATCATTGCCAGGGTAGCCCCAGTTTTGGAGGGAGGAGGAAGGGGACAGCTATGCTCACATAAGCAGGTTGTTCCTGTCCCGCTCCTGCCGCTGGCGACGGTCCTCAATCTGCTGCGCCAGGTCATCACCGTACGCGTTAACCACTGTAACAACCGGCCGCCCTCAGTCACTCCACCAGGCGCTGCAGACCGGCCCAGGGCAGAACAACACCACACTAGGCTGGAAGAAGCCTCCACAAGTGCCTGCACCGGAACTGGGCCCAAACGACCGAATATTTATGAGGGAGGTAGGAGTAAAATTACATTAGCGGCACCCACAGGCTATTCGGCCCAATGCGAGTGCGCTCACACAGCGCCCGCTGGCACCATCAGTCTCGCGTCGAAGCTGTGTACCTGCTCGGCAGGCGTGCTGGAAGCCGGGCGAGGAGCCAGGCTGGAGCGAGTGCGACGAGGAACCGGGCTCGATCGGTTGGGACGAGGCGCCGGTGCCGTCGCACGCGATCGGGGGCAGGGGCGGCGCCAGGTGACAGACGGGCGGGGGCCGGGGCAGCTCGGGCAGGTAGTGCACGTCGCCGACTGACAGTGGCACGGGGCAGCGGCATGCGCTCTGCCCGGCCGTGGCGCAGGCGTGCGTCGGCGGCTCCACAGCTGCGCACGGCGGGCCACGGCCGGCCGCGGACGAGCACGGCCCGGAGCTAAGGCCGGCGGCGGAGGAGAGCACCGCCGGCGCGTGGTCGGCGCAGCGCCGCTGCTGGCTCCACGAGAGCGGGGTGTTGGGGTACTGCAGCTGGCGGGCGTAGTGCGGGGTCAGTGCGTGTGCCGAGACGGGGCTCTGCAGGGTAGCGTGCTGCACCTGACACAGCCCAGTCAGTGCCCCAGCTGCCTGAGCTGAGCCGGCAGCCTGCTTCTGACACGGCCCCAGTCCGTGCGCTGCACAAGACTGGGTCAGCGCTGGACCGTTCAGTGCCAGCCCTTCGAGCACGGCCGCCGCCGGGACGGACGAGGCCGGCGCGGCCCGAGGCTCGGCCCCTCCTCCGGTGATCAGGCCCAGGGATGAGGCCAGGCGGACCAGGGCCTGACGCGGCGAGTACTTGGCATTGGAGGCCGCGGCGGGGTCGGGCTCGCTCGCCCTCGGAGCGGCACACGGAGCGGCGGCTGGTGAGCTGGGCACACACAGCGCCGCCTGAGGCGTGCCGGAGGTCACGGAAGGCTGGCCCGGTGCCGGGGCCGGCGTGCCGACCTCACGCGGCCCCGCCTGGGACGAGTCGGCGGCCGCGGTCGACTGGAGCGAGGGGCCGGTGAGCTCGCCTCTCGGCGTTGGACGCTGCGGCGGTGCGCACGAGGTCTGCGGCTGGACCGCGGGCTGCTGATCCGTCGGACCCCCCGGCCTGACCGCACAGGGCGAGGACGGCCCGCCTCGACGCCCGTGGGGACTGCGATTCTCCCGCGGAGGCTCGAGGCCGGGGAGGATGGAGCGGCGGTAGGGCGTTGTTTTAGGTGGCGAAGGATTGTTGGGAAGGCCTGAAATCACCAAACTTGATCACAGCACATCCTGATTTTCAGGCTGCTCATATCTTACCCGATAGTGCAGGAGGGGCAAGTTTTGTGGCTAAGTGGTAAAAATTGCTCCATCCTTTTCTTCCACAGTTTGATTCTACTTGTATTCTTGGGTTGAGTTTGGTTGGGTTAAGCTAAGAAGAGTTTTAACAAGCGCCAGCGTAGCCAGTTGAATGCGACGCACTCGCACGAACGGAGGTTGACTCAACCCCATAAAATCTAAAGTAAACACCAAATTTATAGAGCAGGTAGGTCGGTATGTAGACAAACCTGTGCCAAATTTTAACATGCCTAGGACATAACCTTCGGGACAAATAAGGCCAAACAAGGTCAGAATATAGTTCAGTGTCCCGAAGTACCTTTAAGACTCGTCATGTAACCAACTACCTTTAACAATGATCCCTTTTCTTAGCAAAATTTTGTTGGTGTTTTTAAGGTCCGTGCCCTATTTGACCTTCGGAAGGTCACGTCGGCAAAAACGTGTGATATTCTGATTTCAATGAAAAATCAATAAGCGTCAAGGATTACGTTAGGCGGTAAAAACACAATGTTCATTGAGACCATTTTAGAAGTGACCTCGTCTGACCTTCATAAAGTCCAAACAAGATGCCCTTAACATGAGCTTGAAAAACTATCTCAGAAAGCAAGTTCTACAATAGAAAAAATTATTTGGTTTGAACCTCGGCCTCATCTTCATACCTGGTCCAAGGTCCATGGCGCTGGTCGTAATTCTTAATTCGATTGTCCAATGGTCGAAGAAGCCATCTCAAAGATGCATGGTTTTGTCTAACATTCCGTTGTCGCAGCAGATTGAGCTAGTCCCTAGGAGTTGTTTTCGCTGACTGTCATGTCCTAACTTTGACCTGCTATAGATCAGTAGCCTTACAATATAATATAATTGTTTAGTGCCAAAATTATTTACAGTTCAATTGGCTACAGCTGTAGAAGGTTTTGCATGGCTATACCGTGCCGTTCGGAAGGCATTTATGAAAAATCTTCGGGGGGGGGGGGGGGCAGGCAACTTCATGCTATCCCAAAGAGTGTTAATTCACACCTTACATGATGAATTAACATATCACGTTTATAATGAGTGCAGATGTGAAATCATTATTATGCTCCCCGGAAGATATAATACTGATCCTAGGTCAAGCAACCTAAGTTTCCTGCGATGTGATATTTCGTGTTTTTGAAGCGGTAACACATGCCTCTCATTGACAATCAATATAATTTTGGCATTGGATCGGGATCGTCTCACACTTTGATGATCTGCACGTTTAGCTTCGGCCCGATAACTATCTATGTAGGTAGGGTCTAGACTGCGGCCTCGACGAGAACATGCGCGATGGGAGGCATCGTTTATTCCCGTCCCTCCTCATCGAAAGCCTTACCACTTTTCCTCCTGCCGTTGCTGGGCTGCGCGTCCAGAAAGCTGGGGCGATATATGGTAGATACTGGGCCGGTCTCCTGAAAAACACGTCATTCGTAGGTCACGGTCCGGCGTGACGAAGCAACGACAGCCAAGCAAGGCATCAAGGTTGATGCCAGAACTGTGGGTAGCAAGTGCAACATACAAGAAGCTGCGGTGTTGGGGAGCGAAAAACGTAGCCAAATAGTTCTAGCAGAGATGAAATATGCAATGGCTACGAAATAGAACGAGAATGTCAAAGTCATCCAAATGGCTATTTATACGAGTTTCGCAGCAGTGCGTTACGGTAACCAACAGTTAACAGCCAGCTTTTACGACAGGACAAAAACAAACTAGGGGTAACACTGGTGCATGCGCGATACATGCCTGCCTATGACATCATTTTCTCGCAACATTTTAAGTGTGCTAGAAAACAAGGAGCTCTAAACTGTGCTACGACAATACCAATGAAAGACAACATTCAGCGTACCTTGGCCAATGGGTGCTGTATGCAGATGGAAAGATCGGGATTAATGATGTTGTAATTAGGCTATAATGAACAAGCGATGCGCGTATCTGCGTACGGCAATATCCACACAAGGAGCGCAATCACCCGGGAATATAAATGTGCCGACAAAATAATGTTCGGCAATACCGAAGAAGGCTGGTAGGGCCTTATGTGTGTCTTACGTGACTGTTCAAGGTTATTCTACCAAAGTTTTTCGTAAAGGCCTTAAAATCAAGGCCTGGCGATGGAAAGTGATACATCATGCAATGATCTGAGACGCGTCCGACAGTGTGCTGAGATACACCATTTTGTCCGCAGCGTCATCGCAAAGCACGCACTCTGCCCGCACACGCTACTAAATCAATGCCGAGTTGCAATAGATTAGGCTGTTACCAGCATTCAGCCATGAGAAACACGCCGATACCACATACACACGCTAGCACCACTTCAATGTCCTGTTCCAAGTGGTGTTATGTGCAGATCTCCATACACAACAAGGGTCGTGTGCAGCCCCGTACACCATGTGACGGGTAAACGAACCTTACGCTGGTATCTCGCATACGCACACATACAGATGCAGGTGGCATATAGTAGGTATATACATACATACATACATATATATATATATATATATATATATATATATATATATATATATATTATTCAAAGGGCACCGATGAAAAGTACGGCTGTCGTACTGCTTGACGTAAATCGTCTCATAAAACGTGACAAAACAATTGCTGCCTTTGCAAGAGTGGCCAGCTATGAAAATGAAACGAAACACTCAAAGTCGTGACGGGACTTATTTTTGGAATACGGACATTCTAATTCTTAAAACGATGTTCCAAATATCCTGTTGGAACCATTAGTCTGATAAGCATTTGTAAGTCCATCTAATAGAGTAGTTCTTTGAAATGCGTCAGCTTTATGAAAAGTAAAGGTCTGGGCAGTCTCTTCCTATCATGAGCGCATGCTTTCCATCAGCGACAGCCCAGTCGCCATCATCGCGCCGCTGCCCGGCCGCGGGCCTGCTGACCTGCTGCTCCCTCTGCCGGTCGGCTAGCTTCCTGGCCCTGTCCTCCTCGGCCTGCTTCATGAGGTCGCGCCTGTAGTTCTCCTGCATCTGGCGGCGGGCCGCTCCAGGGTCGCCGGCGTCTGGGACACATCGAACCCGGGCGACGCTCAGGCAGCTTTCTCACAGCGCTATCACTCCGAACGGAAGCACTTCTCACCGGTGTACAGGCTGCGTACGGCGAGGCCTCGGACTCGCCGTGCCAGTGCTTTGCATGACTGCCAAATCATCACGCTCGGCCGCGTCATGGTAAGAAACACGCAAGTTAAGTAGCGCACGCATGTTAAGAAGCGCAAGGGACAACCGCCGCGACGACGGTTCAAGAGCACAAACGACGCGGGGTCGAGTCCCCGCGCCAGCCTCCAGGGACGTTACTGTACGTCGTATAGCGCGGTTTGCACTCACTTCCAGGCATGGACGGGCCAGATGTGGACATGCCACCACCGCCGGTGACAAGGCCGCCACCGAAGCTGCTGGAGCCTACGCCGTAACCGGTTGAGCCCGCGCCGTAGCTGTCGAGCCCTCCGCCGAAGCTGGTGGAGCCCCCGCTGTAGCTGTCCAGCCGCTGCAGCTGTCAGGCAAACATTCCGAATCTGGTCTGTGATGGCGCAGTGACGTGCGAGCTGTTCCGTTGCCATTACGGTGCAGGCCGCAGACCGCTGCTGCAAGCGTCACCAAGAGCACATATACTTTGCTTTGCAGCCATTGTGACCATACTATGCTACACAAACAACAATGATATGCATTAAAAGAGAATTAGCAGCCGATCGATGAAGGTTCACAAATACGTAACGTAACCAAAGTGCTTCACCTGACCTCGGCAAACGACGGCGTATTAGCGGTGAGCTTTACGGTCGATGGGCATCACACGCTGTGCCAACCTTACTGATTACAACAGACTTGCGGTCTTGCAAGAACTGCGTTGCGCAAAACCCGACTGAACGCTGGATAGAGTTATGCCAAAACGCTATATTCAGCGATGCTGTATAAGTAAACTGTTATTGTTTCCAATAAAATAGAATCATGGACGCAATATAATCCATTTTTGTCGAAGCGCGCCTATTTGTGTTGCATCAGAAAATATGAATGACTGTGAATCTAGCGTGAATCACATTCCCCACGGACTCACACTTGATGGAAGCTTTTGTCATACCACAAAAAAAACATTTTTAGTTACACGTGCTTCTTTGCAGCTCTTCAGTTTGTTCTTTTCACCTGAAAAACCTGAAGCCTTTAGCTCTCATCTCTATTTTCATGATTGAAATCCATGCATTGGAACCGTAGCGGTCCTTTATGCTCCACATGTGATGTTGGCGTAACTGCCACTAGGACTGGGCAATGTTGCGTCCGAACAGGACCTCAGTGACGTTTACGAAGAGAAGCCCACATTTGTGTTTTAACCACACGGAGCAATGTGACGACCTACTGGACCACAGCAGACCTTGATTATTGCGTGTTGATTGATGTGTGCTTACGTCCATGAGGGTTGCATCTTTACTTGCTTGCCGACCTGTTGTTTGACAGTGATGCTGGTACTGAGGTTCTGTACGTTCTCTGATTTGCTGCTACGTGCATGTCGATTTCTCATGCTCTGGGCCACTTGCTTCGGACTCGTACTTACCTACGATACTCAACACTAACCGTCTGGCTATTCATAGCCGCCCTCCAGTGCTATCCCCCTCTCCAACTCATGGCGGTGCTTACGGCTGACTCGGCCGACATGAGGCTGCTGCCGCCCAGGTACTGGCTGCCCACACGAGAGCGGCTCAGGCCCGAGGGCGAGCCGATCGGGTCCCACCCGGACCGGAAGCGGCTCTCTTCCGCCCGCTTCTGCGACAGCAGGCCGGCGTAGTCCATCGCACCCCGGTTCCGCTGCAGGCCAGCACGATTATCATTTTCAGCGTTGATTAGTGCATGACTCGGCAAATATGGGATATCTTGGGGTAGCCAGTCGCTCGTCTCGAATCATTTGCCCACGAGCCAGTAATGCTTTGTGTATGACGCTTTAGGTCGTGGAGCTTCCCCAGAAAGGCGCTTTTGGGCGTTTTGGTGATTTTGGTGAAGGGCGCTTTGGCGGCCCATAATGTTTAAAAAAATAAAGGCTAAAAAGGGAGTAAGCCAAATGATAACAAAACAACAAGGGATCAAGCTTAACAGGGATATTAGCTCAAGCAACAGACCAATTGACAAAAGGGCCCAGCATGTCGAAGCAAATAAAACCGAACTTTTTTCCGCTAGCCCAACCAATGAACTCTCCGAACTCTCATATCCCCTTAGATATTCCTGGTGTTCATTACCGTCAACTCCATGGTACCATCATGCATTTCGTCTGTCTCGCTCTTCGAAGCCTCCTTTCTTTGATGTTGGTTTCTGCTCAACTAACATTTGGAGGCGTTAGCTCAACAGACATGCAAGTCAAAATAGGAAAAGTTCAAGTGTCAGCGCAGTCAAAAAGGATCCAAGTGAAGGGGAATATCTAAAAGTCAAGCAGAAAGGAAACTACAGAAAGGTCTAAAATGTAAGACGTCTAAAAGAAAAATTGTCAGCAAAGGAAGTGCTCCAGATGGGCCGACACGATCCATATGTCTTTTTGGATAAGACGGCAGTTTTGCTAGATCAGCTGAGCGGGGTCGAAACTAAGACCAACTGAACCGTTATGAACCGGTCCTCACCGCACCAAAGGCGGGGCAGCAAGAGCGGCAGAAAAGTGAGCGGACCGGGCTGAAACGGACAGCACGAGAGCGGTCAGGGCAGGACAGGACAGGACAGGACAGGACAGTGCAGAATATGACAGGACAGGACAGGACATGGCAGGACAGGACAGAACAAGACAGAACAGGACAGGGCAGAAGATCACAGGACAGGACATGACAGGATAAGGCAAGGCAGAACGAGACAGGACAGGACATGATAGAACAGGACAGGACAGGACAGGACAGGACAGGACAGGACAGGACAGGGCAGGACAGATAATAGCAGGTTCGGGAAGGCCGAAGCAGGTCGACGACGGAGATAGTCAGTTCGGGACTGGACCGATCCATGTCAGCCAGTGGACCAGGCCCTGACAGGCCTTTTGCCTTTTCACGTTTTCCATTCTGATTTTTGTCTGCTGACTGGACTATTCGATTCTTCCTCTTGTTTTTTTCTTCTTGACTTTTGGTCCAGACACCACACTAGCACATATATCGAGCCAACCACGCAGATGATCATTCTAAATCATTTGGGACCAGATGGCATGGACAGAAGGCGACCTGCAGCCTATGCGCCGCTGCAGTACTGATTCTTTTTTATGAATGTTACATAGATAATGGGAGAAAAGTGTCTCACCACCCTGATGCAGACATCTAAGGGCTCGTATTTGCATGTCAATGTGAAATAATAGTTGGTTCACGTGAATATCCTCTCGACTGACTCAGCTATGGGCGCTGCAGATCTGCCGCGTATTCAATAGCATAGTTCGGATTTTGGAAATAAATTATGCCGGATAGCCCGGCTTATTTGGTCATATAACTCTGATATTAAAAATAAAAGATTTAAACGATCAACAAAGGTAGTCTCATCGCAGTGGCCTAAAAACTATATTGGGTAGATGCCTGAAAACGGACATGTCATATGTAAAAGGATATTCGTCCGTCTACTAATATCCTTATATATATATATATATATATATATATATATATATATATATATATATATATATATGTCACTTAACTGTCATATATGTCACTCGCCAACAACATATAAAGAGCGGCGCACCAACGTAATCCTTGCGAAGCCCGCCTGCTGCGCCTGTGTTCCCATGCAGCACACGGTGCCAGCCTGCACCCCCAGGAGCCGGGTGTGGGCTGGCGCCGTCCGTGCTGTCACTGACCGTCGCGCGGGCGGCGGGCAGCGCGGCCGTGGGGCCGTGGCCGGCGTTCGGCGAGAACTCGCCGGGCCGCACCATCCTCGCAGTGGCCGGTCGGCCTCGCCCCAGCCCCGGCTGAAACACGTGCCGTCAGGTGCAGCCGCTGTCTGGGGCGGAGTCGTCCGTCACACGCACGGGCGCACCCGGGCAAACGTGGGCCGAGCCACCGCTGGCACCGTCTGATCACAGCAACACAGCCTGCTTCAGCTTCAGTTACAGCACGGGTCCAGTCCTTACTCGGACAATGCTTAGTCATGGGTGACGGGTGTTGGTTCGATTTCGCTAGAAGCGGTTACGATTGCTCTGATCAGGAGCTTAGTTGTCCGTTCTCTCCCGGGTGCGTCCCTGCTGAACACGTGCCCACACGCAGAGAGAAGCCACAGGGCGCAGCCGCTGTCCGTGGCGGGCTTTGATAGGCACAGAGCAGCCGGGGGGGGGGGGGGGGGGGGAGGGGGGCAACCGCTGTCCGTGGCGGGCTTTGGTAGGCTCGGAGCAGCGTGAGGTGCAGCCGTGTCAGCGGCGGAACAGCGCCGCACAGCCAATCCGCCAGACCGGTATTTTCTCGGCAAAGAAACGGGGGAAAGCAAACCCAACAGGCTAGCACTCTCCGGATCAGGGAACAGTGGCAAGACAACTGGCAAAACAAACGCGTTCGGAACCCAGAAGCATATCGCGCGGCGGTCAAACAAATAAACGAGGCTGCCCACGCTCCGTCCCGCCCGGGCGCAGCAGCGGGTAAAAACAGGATGGCGTGACAGGCTGCTTGCAGTCGCCACACGCCCAACTGCTAGCCACCACGTCCGACGGAGGTGGACAGCACACGGAGCCGTGACCATCCTCGACCGCGCCTTGTCTGTAGAAAGACTTCCGTTCTTGACGCGACGCCAGATATATCACAATCAATACCAAAGATGACCTGGCCAGCGCCAACATTTTGTGTTAAATTCGTTCATTATGTAGTTATCAGTCATACGTTCAGGTGAATAAACACCTACATAGTCTGCACTCTACTCAACACAAGTATTCACGGCTGTCACCAGTGGGCCAAGGCCTGTGTGACACGCTACGGAGGTGGGCCATAAGCCGGATGGCTCAGACGCAACTAAGCCAATATAGGCATCTGCCAGACCGCGTGGCTTGGATTGGAAGCCGGTGTTGCAACCAGCCCCAATCTGCGCCCGTTTGCCGACTGGAAAGACAAAGGTGACCAACTGACTCGCGTACGCGCTATTAGCAGAACTATCCAGGTTCCCAAAGGTAATCAGAACATGGACACAAAGCGTGAATGCAATCGGCGTGATGCCGGCCTTTGGCCAGAGGATATTGCGCAGAGCATCAAGGTGGGTCAAGAACATTGCTTCACAATTATCACTGATATGCTTCACCGCTGCAGCTTTGAGGTCGTCGGACGCCAAGCAGCGATGAGCCGATGGCGTATTGTGTCGTTTTCTGTACATGCTCGAAAACTGAACGCGGCGAACACTAGCCCGTGGTGATGTGGTGTCCATCTGCTGGATTCAGATGTGACAGTTCAAAATAAGGCGATGACATTGAGTTTTTAGTTGCAGCAACTATCTGAAAGCTTTAAGTGTGTACAAGCGTACCACTGGCCAAATAAGTTGACTAAAGCTATTAAAAGACGCCGTGCCTTCCAAGCGTTGTAACGCACATACACACAGTGTTAATTTCAGCGAAGGTTTGCGAGCAAGCGACCGCCAGCCCATGCGCGACGCCATTATTAATGCAAAGGGACATCTACAGATGAAGCACTACCAAGTAATATATGACGCGTCGCTCCACCGTCTCATTTGCACAGATATGCACCGTCAGGTGGCACTGAATAGCGTATAGGTGGGAAAAAGCCGGGCAACGTGAAAGTTGAATGACGGGATTTTGTAAGCCGAGGAGGAGGGCGTGTGTGGTGCCACACCACATGCACGATTGCGCATCGCCCAATCTGAGGTATCCGCACAGCTAGTGCTCAAGCTCAGTCCGAGAGATCCCCACGGCTGGCACCCAAGCTATCTCCAGTCTGGGAGATCCGCAAAGGTGGTGCCCAAGCTATCCCCAGTCTGAGAGATCCGGCTGGCACCTATGCTATCCCCAGTCTGAGAGATCCGCAAAGCTGGTGTCCAAGCTATCCCCAGTCTGAAAGATCCGCAAAGCGGGTGCCCAAGCTATCCCCAGTCTGAGAGATCCAGCTGGCACCAAAGCTATCCCAGTCTGGGAGATCCGCAAAGGTGGTGCCCAAGCTATCCCCAGTCTGAGAGATCCGGCTGGCACCTAAGCTATCCCCAGTCTGGGAGATCCGCAAAGGTGGTGCCCAAGCTATCGCACCGCCTCAACCCGCACGCATGAGCCTCTTCGGACGCCTCAAAGCATCTCGAGAGCACATATCAGCCGATGCTTGGCCTTCTCCAGATACGCCTTGTATCTAAGTGAAAAAGCAGTGTAACGTAACGTGCTATCTAAGATAACCTAAGCTAGTTCCCGCTGCCCAGAGAAGGGTGGATGGGATAATCACTCACGCCACTGCCGAAAAGCACATCCGAATAAACGAAAACATCGCCGCACGATGACAAATATTGGCGATCGTGCTGATGGCCGACCGATCGGCACGTCAGCCGCTCCACGTCCGACCGGCCACTCCCACGTCAGCAGCCCCACGTCCGACCGGCCACTCCCACGTCAGCCGCCCCATGCCCGACCGACCATTCCCACGTCAGCAGCCCCACGTCCGACCGGCCACTCCCACGTCAGCCGCCCCATGCCCGACCGACCATTCCCACGTCAGCAGCCCCACGTCCGACCGACCACTCCCACGTCAGCCGCCCCATGCCCGACCGACCATTCCCACGTCAGCAGCTCCACGTCCGACCGGCCACTCCCACGTCAGCCGCCCCATGCCCGACCGGCCATTCCCACGTCAGCAGCTCCACGTCCGACCGGCCACTCCCACGTCAGCAGCCCCACGTCCGACCGGCCACTCCCACGTCAGCAGCCCCACGTCCGACCGGCCATTCCCACGTCAGTCGCTCCACGTCCGACCGACCATTCCCACGTCAGTCGCTCCACGTCCGACCGGCCACTCGCTCAACCGACGCTCACAAACTGCCAGACCGGCGTCACGTGTGAGCCCCTGAAAGGAGCTGTGTGTCTCACTCACCTCACCAGCGCCAGGCGTCTCACCACGCACCGTCCGCACACTGTTCGTCACCGCGGTCAATACGACACCTTCCTGGGCCCGTGCTGTGTGGGTCTGTGTATGAAGTCGTCTCGTAGCAACTTCGGCGGCCGCCCGCCGCTGCCGCCGCCACCGCTGCCGGCTGCTCGCCCCGGGGACAGGGCGAATGGGAGGTGGCCGCAGGGGGAGGGGAAGGACGGAAACGACAGGCTTTGGGTCAAGGTCACACAGGACTGGAGTACGTTTAAAGGTGGTCAGGAAGTGTGCTAAGCTGCATAAACCGCTGGATTATGCGTGAGCGGTGGCATCAGAAATTATTGCGGTCATCGCACACGCACACACACACACACACCACACACACACACAACACAGACGCACTAGCGAAGAGAGAGAGAGAGAGAAGAGAGAGAGAGAGAAGAGAGAGGAGAGAGGAGAGAGAGAAGAGAGAGAGAGAGAGAGAGAGATGAGTTAAGAGAGGAGAATAGAGAGAGGAGAGAGAGAGAGAGATAGCTAGGAGGAGAGGAGAGAGAGGAGAGAGAGAGAGAGAGAGCGATATACGAGAGAGAGAGAGAGAGAGAGAGAGATAGATATAGAGAGAGAGAGAAGAGAGAGAAGAGGAGAGAAAGAGAGGAGGGAGAAGATAGCGAGAAGAGAGATAGAGAGAAGAAAGAGATGATAGAGCGAGAGAGAGAAGGAGATCTCTCTCTCTCTCTGTCTCTCTACTTTCTCTCTCGTCTACGTTCTCGCTTCTTCTTCTGCCTCTGCCGGAGCGCGCTGCGCAGCGCGGTCTCGCTCTCGTCGCGCGAGCGCGCGCGCTCGGCTCTCCTCCTTCGTCTTATTCTCATCCTCATCTCCTATCTCTCTATATATATATATATATATATATATATATATATATGTTTATACATTTATTTATTTATTACTTCGCCTATACGGAAATATGTAATTCTGACTCTTACTCCCACGGGTGGCGGCGCGAGCTGAGGCTGACTCTGACCCAGTGCCGAATGACAGAGGTATGAGCCGTCCCAGATGCCGACTGAAATACGCGCGGCTCAATGCCGTCATCGATAAAGATATAATCGGCCACGGTCACATCAAACTGTGAGATAATACATTTTACCTGAACCCAAAAGCTGATATGACATGCACCGTAACGACAAGACAGTGATGCATAAATCTGGCGTTCCATGTGGTGTTTATGTAAACTGGCAAAGTGACGATGTCAGCTTTGATCTGGGGGCAGAACCAATTTCAAAATTGAGGGGGGAGCACGCAAGAAATGCCGAGATGAACCCCACCTGCCCCATTTTCTCTTATCCGATTTCGGCTACCTGACTTTAAAAATTCGTTAAAAAGGGTGATTTTGTATTACAATGTTCATCATCGACGTTAACACGTGCCCTGGCGCGTCAGGTGGCCATGATGAGCTGTACTAATCGATCTATTTACCTTTATAGGTAAATTTGCGTGGTAATTGTAGGTGTTCGCACGCATGAATATCACGGTGGAACCTAGCCATTTATCAATGATATTCTATGACAAATGAAATAATCTATGTTTCCATATACACCCGTAGCCCTCCCAGGATTTCAGGAGAAGAGCGAACACTTCCTAGGCCCGTCCACTTTTCGTTCAACTGCGTGCAAAAACGGAAGCAGTTGAACAGATACGCAGCCAAACCAAAATCACGATAAGGGATAAGATACAAATGTAGGCCAAGTGACTTTGTGATTGATACGCACGCACGTAGCCGAATAGATGAAAACACCTTACAAATAACTCGATCCGCTGCTATCTGGCTTGGTCTTCCCTGAGTGCAGGATGTTCTTTGACTTGGCTTGGCCACTGAACACGAATATACCTTATGAGTGAAGCCAAAGATTGTCAGGGAGCTTGGTTCCTCCTTAGGCTTGGCTGTGAGCTACTGTCAAATCGCCATCTGTTCCTTCGCATCCTGGGGTTTGAGTTTATTGAACGCACCTTTATGGTGTGGCTGTAATTTAACTTTTGTCAGAATGTTGTATGATCCATTCCTGAGCAGCGGATCAGATCCATTTCCCTCCGCAGCTGTGGCGCCCATATTATCGCCGCCCCGCTGCGTGACTCTGCCTCCATCCCGAATCAAGCACGTATCTGCCTCTTCGTGAATTCGATCAAATGACTACTTCCGCCAAAACATGGAGGCTTACGGAGCGTGCGATAGATGGCATTGTGCTGGAGGCGGGGTAGGTGGCGCCAGAGAAGACTTCGCATTGCGTAGCATGCCTGCCCCCAGACACACAGGCGAAGAAACTGTGGCATTCACCCACCTCTGACGTCTTTGAAAGTCTTGGAAGCCATACTGCTTGCGAGACGTGGGTAAAAAGGGACCAGCATACACGTCATGACATCCGCCGCCAGGGAGTAGCCATCACTCTCAGACGGCGCACATGGAGTCATATCTACAGGTACGTTCTGATCACGTGACCGCGCCAGGCAGGCTGTGGCAGGCAGGGCCACTGTACACAATCCAGGGTGGGATCCATGCCAGAACGCTCGCAGTGTGCGAGAGCAACAACATGTGGCGCCCAGCGGGTCGGGATGCAAGATAATTTGCAGCTGGTTTACACATGGCATACGCGCAGGAATGCGGGGAGATCCTGTGACGGTAATCTACCGCTTTCTGACACTGCTCGATACCAGGCTTATAGGAATGCATGGAAATAACCGACTTTTAAGTTCGTTTTAACCGACTTTCCGAGATGTTCATTCACCCATCGTGCGTGGCGAACGGACTGAATTTGTGACTTGAAAGATTGTAACACTCAAAGTTAACTTAACGCATTTCCAGCGGCTTTGCTTCACATCTGAAGACCAGCTGCTCGTGGGCAACAGATGACGGTTTGCCCTTTCCCTTCATTTTCACCAGGTTTGTAGTCTGCCGCAGCTGTAATAACTTTCCCTGGACATGTTTGCGGAACGCGACATCAGCAGTGCGTCTACGACTATGTAATGCACAATACACATTTCAGTTTCAGGCAAAGTCATCTTGATATTACTTCAACCTGACGTATCCTCACGCAGTTATCTTCCGAGTAACCTATAATAAATCATAGACAAATACTTAGCGCCGATATGAAGTTCACCGCCCTGCCGCAAAGTCGTGCATGCTTCGTAGGACATGCTTCGTCGGACAGAACGCTCCCGTTGGCAGCCGGCGGCACGCTTCAGTTGGCAGCAGTTTCGGCAGGGGTGTGCCAAGACAAATGGAAGCGTTCCGCGCACTGTCCACCGAGCCGCGTGGGAGGAACACCGCTCACACACCCTCTGCAGATGGCGCTTTTGGCTCCACATCGAAGCTTCTACGGATAGAGATGCTACCGACGAAGCAGAGCTGCTCCCGACAAAGCAGAGCTGCTCCCGACAAAGCAGAGCTGCTCCCGACAAAGCAGAGCTGCTCCCGACAAAGCAGAGCTGCTCCCGACAAAGCAGAGCTGCTACCGACAAAGCAGAGCTGCTCCCGACAAAGAAGAACTGCTCCCGACAAAGCAGAGCTGCTCCCGACAAAGCAGAGCTGCTCCCGACAAAGCAGAGCTGCTCCCGACAAAGCAGAGCTGCTCCCGACAAAGCAGAGCTGCTCCCGACAAAGCCTTCACGCCACGCTTCCTACACACTGAACTTCTGACGGAAAAATTGCTAAGGCTCACGATAAAACTGCGGCTGAAAAAATTATGGTGTAACTGCTACGTTTGCAGGCAAAAGTACCCCACGTAGACAGAGTTTCCAATGCCGTTGTGTGGCGTTCGCCATTTTGAGTCCAAATGCACCGTACAAGTTTTATCCGTAGAAGTTCTGTCATGTAGGAATCTGTCAATAAGTTTCGGTTTGTGGAAGTCTGAATCACATATTTTCTGTACGCAAAGCAATGTCGTGCGAAGGTTTGGTGCTCAGCAGTTTTGTCCGACAGAAGTAAGATCACGTGGAAGTTCTGTCGCCGCGAAGAGTTTTGTCTGTACAAATTTGAGGCCCAGAGGTTCTGTCGTGTACACCTCGTGTTGCAACAATTTTGTGCGCACATATTTTTGTAAAAACATTCGAAACGTTATACCGAATCCCTGTGCTGATGGCAAGGCTGCATTCGCCACGAATCCGACAACTCAAGTGTCAGTCAGTTTGGCAGAGACTATTCTTTTAACACTACACTTAGTTTTCATTAACTCTCACATAGTGTTCGCGTTCATAAGGTGCACCATAATTTTATGACATATATTTTCTGAATCATCAACAAACGTTGATGATTCGGTCTTTTAACGTGCCATGATTTGACATGGTGTGATATGACCGGAGATAGCTAAGATCCCATTATAAACGGTTTCAAAAGTAAAATAAAGCGTTTGGCAGTCATGGAGCCCCCATAGCGGGCCTCAGGCCGGTGATGGAGCCCCCATAGCGGGCCTCAGGCCAGTCATGGAGCCCCCATAGCGGGCCTCAGGCCGGTGATGGAGCCCCCATAGCGGGCCTCAGGCCGGTGATGGAGCCCCCATAGCGGGCCTCAGGCCGGTGATGGAGCCCCCATAGCGGGCCTCAGGCCGGTGATGGAGCCCCCATAGCGGGCCTCAGGCCGGTGATGGAGCCCCCATAGCGGGCCTCAGGCCGGTGATGGAGCCCCCATAGCGGGCCTCAGGCCGGTGATGGAGCCCCCATAGCGGGCCTCAGGCCGGTGATGGAGCCCCCATAGCGGGCCTCAGGCCGGTGATGGAGCCCCCATAGCGGGCCTCAGGCCGGTGATGGAGCCCCAGACCACGAGCACCAGCGTCGTCTTCCAGAACATGTCCACATAAAAGGCTATTGTTTAGACCCCGAGTGGGCACCGAGCCGCAAAAGAGCACGTCCAATTGCGAAACAATGGCCAGTCATTTCAACGCACGGGCGGGCGCCCAACTGGAGCTGCTCGCGCCAGTTGCCGGTGTAGCGCGCGAGAGAGACGTTATAGACATAGAAGATCCACACCCGTAAAATCATGCAGAGGCGGCGCATCCGAATT